GTTATTTTTACATTCATTTAAAACTTAATTTGATAATAAGGTCTAACTGAAACCAGCAGTTAGATGCATCTTACAACATGTTTTATTAGGAATATTTTATCTTTTAATAAAATTAATAAATGCAATTTCCTTTAAAAAATTTCAGATTTTTACTTCCTTGCACAAAATAAAGAGAGTACTGTATTCATGAAAAATTTTGGCTTTCAGATTTCAACAGAAATATCCATTCTGGATTGTTCTCGAATCCATTTTGACTATCTTTTGGAATGACGTCTGTACACAAATAAACTGCAAAATTGATTCAAAATTGTTTTTTTCCTGACATCTGCAGGTATGCATCTTGCATAATTCAAAAACAATTAGCAAGGGAATGCTGAAGTTTTGTATATGAAGCTGCTATAACATCTAGTTTGTGCACTTTTTTTAATTGTAATCTACAGTACTAAAAGTATATACAAATGCATATACCCACCCTCCTTACCCATGTTAAAAGTCCTAACTTAGCCTTTATTTTTGCAATAGGTGGTTGTAGTTAATATTTCCAGTTACAGAAGTGTTTTAAATGACAAAAATATTCATGTTTTGGAAATTTTTAAAAATTTAATATTGGACAAATAATTAAATATAACTTTTAATGCAGTCTCCCTGTTCCTATATTTATATTTGGGAGAGTTTTACACTTGTTATGAAAATATAAAAATTCAAGAAGTTTGAGTCCTACATGACAAAAATTGGCAGGGGTTTCAGAATTTGCTGTTTTTGAAGTCATTTTCAACCTGCCTCAAGGGATAAGTTAAAGTTAGAATATTCCAAGGAAATGTCTAAATAAAGTGCAGCACAAAATATGTATAATTTAACAAGTATACAAGGAATTCTGAGCATAAAATGAATAAAATCAATTTTCTTTAAGAAATTTCAGTCCCCCCCCCCACTTAGATAAGAACAAATAAATGACAGAAGTAAATAAAACATTAGAGAATTTATATTTATGTTACTTTAAAGATATACAAGATCTTTACATATTATATGAAATAAATCAAATGAATCCACTCGAGAAGTTTTCAGAAAATTCATAGTATTCAAATGCTACAAAAGACTCCTTTTCTAACTAATGAATGGGGGTTATCCTTAAGTCTTGAAGAAGCAAAAATAAAAATGAGAAAAACTGAATTCCTGACACAAAATTTTTCAAAAGAGATATGCAATTTAATCTGCTAGGACATCAAGCTTGATATTTCACCTTAATCTTTCAGCTTTAAAAACAGTGAAAAAATGCCACCCTCTTTCCTTAAAAACAGCATGACCATTACAATGGCTATATCAGCTTTTAATAGTTAAATTAAAATATTGACACATTAATCCACATCTATAATTTCATCTATAATATCATCTAAATGCCATCTACCCATGTAATGAGTACATGCATTTAATATTTTGAAATATATATGATAATTATATGTTACAATTTATAACTTTACTAAGTAGACTGAAATGCTCTTCCAATATTGTTCTCTTATTTTATTGAACTCTTATTATTTCCTATATAAAAGAAAAAAGAACAAACTTGAACAACTAAATATTGGGTGACATTATTATTTACTTCTCTTTAATATTTGCATTTTAGTCACAAGTTTACAGAAAAGAAAAGACTACCTTTAGTAGCAATAAGAAGAGCACACACACGATAAATGCACTTGTCATGAGCTTCAGAATCTAAAATAAAATTTTTATCTAGTTAATTTTTTGAAAAACATCTTAACATATAAATTAAAAAACTATAAACTACTGCTACAGGTACATACTTTTATCATGCCAAGTATCAGTCAAATTAAGTAGTAGCTGATTAGAAATATTTTTCATAAATTCTTCGGAATCATCAGAAGCAGCCAGCAAACCTTCAATCTGTAAATTACACCAGTATAATAAACATGTTAAGAGCACACATAATAGTGCTTTCAGAATACACTAAGAAGATTCTAACTGATTTACCAGAAGTACCAGCACTAATGCAATAATTTAAAAAGACAAAAAATGTACCTCTCCACTATAATGGCAGCGAATATTCATGGATGCCACAGATTCAGAATAGTTATTTTTTACACAAGCAGGCCATTTGTCAAGTGTGGATTTCTTTAAAAGAAAAAGTATGGTTTGGATAAATGTTCAAATCAAAAAATACTTTTTATTTGAACAATGAATATTTAAAATTTTAATTTATTTAAACACTTACCGAAAGAGGAGCAGATAATAAATTTAACCCAGAAAACTGTAACACACTTTCCACTGCCATAGCAAGCCCACTGTGATGTTTCAGACCATCAGTAGCATGTTGTTGAACCGTAAGGTATTCCTAAAAAAGCACACATGATAATTACACAAAAAAAGTACACACGATATGAAGTACACATGATATAAAATACACATGAAAAAATACACATGAATAACCATACAAAAGAATTTCATAAAAAAATAAATACAAAAAATGAACCTACTTTTCAAAGTATTGGAAAAAAATATTAAAACAGGGATGCTATATAACACATTGTTTACGTAAGCTAAAATAATTACTTGATATTAAAGAAAATGAGTGGATTAGGTGAAGTTAATTGATTAAGAAAAATCACAAAGGATTTTTCCTGAGGAAAAGAATGCCTTCATGGCTTTATCAAAAGCAGCTAGCATTCATGCTACACTAGTCAAAATATCTCATGCAACCAGTCTATTTGTCAGGATTTAAGGGTTGAATGATCAGAATAAAGGCAGAAAAAAAAATATGTAGAGCAGAAAAATAATATGCATAAATTATATAACCATAATATAATGTATCAAGATGTGTATTAGTATGCATAATGAATGCATTGGAATCTTAACCTGTGACTTGGAAAGTAATAGCATATAGAAGAAGAGCATTTAGTTTCCAACAAAGTTAAGTAAAAAAGAAAATTTTTTAATCTCCAAGGTAATCATGCAGAAAAGAGAAATATCCAACTTTACAAAATATTGTTCTAGCCAAAAACTCTATTCTCCACCTTCATATTTCTCTTTCTACACTGCTCTGACAGTATATTGGTTTGGGGAGCCGACTGCAATACCAACGGGCTTAGGTTCAAATCATGGGAAGGTTATATCTGTCCATTCTCTCACAGGAGGGAAAGATGGCCCACCTACTGGGTGCCTCTAAAATAAAGTGATTACCACTTCTGGCCTTAGTAGTGGCCAACGTTTGTGGATGGTTTAGGCCTGCCATTGGGGGGGGGATTCTGTTTTTTAAATAAAGATTGTCCAGATTTAATAGTTTAAATAAAAACAATAATACAGTATAACTTCAACTATCCAAATCACCAATTATCCGAATCACTGCCAGATTTTAAGAAAAAAATTAAGGAGTGTTGGACAAGCAATGATTTCAGACATTAAAAGGAGCAAACCTACACTTTTACACTTCGCGTCACTGCTTGAAAACGAAGATTGAAGTTCCTCAAGAAAAATCAATGTAGCAACAAACAAAAATTTAGAAGATATGCTTTTCAAGTAGTTTTTGCAACAAAGTTTTACGGGGAACCTAATTTCAGTTCTGATGCTTTGTGAAAAAGCTAAGATCTTAGCTCAGAAGCTTGGTCATTCATCCTTTAAAGCAAGTAATGTCTAGCTAAGGAATTTTAAGTGCAAGCACGGTGACTGTCAAACAGCTTACTTTGAATGAGATGTTCAGCAAGCAATGACATTCAGCACTTGTAAGTACTGTACTTGCTTCTGCAGTACATATACTAAAATTGGAACGATAATTGTAAATATTTTACAGTACATCATATGACATGTACGCAAAAGTGTTGCCTTTTCATTTTAATTAATTAAAACTTCTTTTTCTTTAAAAATAGTTTTGTCCTATTTTCAACATGCATACCATACAGTAATTCAAGTGTATACAGACCCTTTCTTTGGGAAAAATCTAATTATTCAAATTTTTGATTATCTGAATAGGATGCAGTCCCAACTGATTCGGATAACTGGAGTTCTACTGTAAATCATATTTTATATAGTACAAATCTGTTATGCTTCTTTCAGAAACATTTCATGAAATCCTGCTAAATCTGGGGATATCACAAGGATATGCAATAATATAGGTTGATTTTGCTTCAGAATCTCAAAGGGAAAAAAATCAAATCAAAATACTTCTATATCAAATTACATATACTATGATACAGATCCACTGCATAGAAATATTTCCCAAATCTGCAATGAATGACATGTAGATTTAAATGCCTCTATTAACACATTTGCTTCCAAAGAATGATATTTCCATGTTTAGAAGCTGGATTGCAAAACAGTGTTTTAATGGTTCAAATTGTTCCTTACATTATACTTCTAAACCAGATGTCATTTGGATAGAAAACAGTACTGCTTTACAACATTATTACTTATGGTTTATTTCACAGCAGTTCAAGTAATATTCTGGTTTGCCTGCCCATAACCATCAGTAACTGCTGAGGTACATTGTTGGCTTCTGTCTCAGAATCCAACATTTATAGTATTCATTGCGATATCATTATTTCCTTCTGATTAACTCAGAGAATCCCAGCTATAGTCTTCATCCTCTGTGCTCTCATAATCAGAAACATTAATCTTTTTAATAATTCTAATATTTTGACATCAGTCAATTTTTTATTTACTTTCCTTTCCTTAGGTTGTGAAGGTCCTGTAGGCTGTTTCATTTAGCATTTTAAAAAGCAGACGTACAAAAAATTCAAACATAAATTTTGAAAACCCTGCACATAAAAAAAAAAAAATGATAACAATAATGCCTCACTAGCATGCCTAAACAACCTCTTTGTTCAAATTTCAGTTCCACACTAAAAATAAAGCATATAACTTATGACAGTCAACCAAAATCTCTGAGCATCCCCAGCATACGAAGTGGTGCCATTCTGATGCGCCAGTACGTTGGTGTCAATGAAAGTTTTAATAACAAATTTTATACTTCAGTGAAAAAAAGCAAACCAGAATAATCACATGACATTGCTTGAATTAAAAATATCCACATAAAAAATAAATAAATATTAAAAAACCTACAGTGTATATAATTTCTATATGCATTTGATTTACAGATATTAATTAAGATCATTAAAAATACCAATGATAAACAATTAATATATTAATAAAAATGAAATGAAATAGCATCTCTAGAAATAAAGCAAAAAATTTTAAGAAGCATGCAAGAACATGGAAAAAAGATGCTAAAAACAAGATTATGCACTTTCACATGTTGTCAAAAACTAGAAAAGTTAATAACCAACCAAAAGCTGGCAAAATGCATTTAATGCATATACAATTTGTACTTCAGCATTATGAATTACTTTCTCACCCCAAAAAACCCAACAGAAGATAAGTGGGTGAACTATAAGTACACAATTAAAAATCACACTACATGATATAAACTAAATCATGAAAACTACTTACTAATCGAAAAGGAATTAAAAGTCTTTAGAAAAAATAAGTACCAAGTGAAAAAATACAATAAATACCCTAAAAACATTAAATATAAGCATAATTACTGCAAGCAAAAAATTATGGCAAAAAAAAAATCATCTTTTAAAATAAATACTATCAAAGCACACTTTATTATGAACATAAAACAAATAAATAAAATATAAATAAGCATTCAATGTGAAAAAATTCCATATATTTAACATAAAAATTCATACCACTAAATGAGAACGCGTAACATTTGGAGCCCATTTCACTGCTTCTTGCAATATACCTTGGCTACGAGCAGCAAAATCACGAACAATATTCTGTGACAAGAAATATATAAATTTAATACAGTATATTCAATTCACATTATTGAAAAGTATCATTAAGTTTAAAACATATAGTACTGATAACCTGAATTTAAAATGCATATTTAGGTTTCTGAAAAATATATGCATGGCTCAAAACAGTAAATTTATAATACATATTTGTAAAGTCATTAGGTTTGCTAGAGCAAGAAAAAAAAATATTTAATGCACTTGCTGAGATTTAAACTCTCAACTTCTTGAGTGCAAGCTAGAATGCTTCCAACTACAAAGCGAATGCATGTGGTAAGGAGGGGAAAATATCTTGACTGGGAAGATGTGGAACTAAGTGCCAAATCCTGGAGGTGACAAATTATTGCCTACGGCACTCTTTAGTTCAGGCAACACTGTAGAGCATAAGGTGGTTAGAGTAGAGGAAAGGGTACTCCTTGCATTATCATGAAGTTGTTGTTTCATTTATCGCCAAGTTGTTGTTTCATTTATGGTTTCATTTATGGTAGCCTAAGTAGTTGAATGTTATGGAAACCCTATTATGACTTAATCGATTGCATGATTGCAGTAAATTCGTAAGAGCTTGTGTGTGTGTTGGTTAGGGAAGTATATTGCTTGTTTTGTGGTTTAGACGGTAAAAATGGCTGAATGTGGTAAGATTAATTTGAAGTTTCCGTATGATTTGGAAAGAAAGGGGAAAAAAGCATTACTTGGCTGGTAGCAAGCTTTTGGATGCTGTTAAGGAATTATGTTTGAAGACATGTGAATTCATTAATAAGGTAAATATTTTAACTTATACACAAAGGAAATATACCCAATATATATATAAATATACCTTATATACACAAAGGAAATATTTGTAAATATTTCCTTTGTGTAGTTGCAAAGATGAATTTCCTTTTTTATATTATTTCATTGATTTAAAATGTAGTTTATTGAGATTATATATTTTTTTGTTGGCTGCTCCTATGACTTTTTAAATGAATATAGTTCAATGTGTACATGGGTAAAGTCAAGGGAGTGTGCAATGCCAAGTTTGTGCAATTCTCCGATGTTTCTTTGAGTGAAAATAGGCCGGTGTGTACATGGATACTGAGTTTGTGCAATTCTTTGTCTTGTTATTTTGGATTTGTATAGCGGTGATTTTTGTCCATGTACTGCCAAAAATCACCAAGTTTCGCCAAGGAGTACCCATACATATACTCATTAGGTTTTTACCCATTACGTATATCAATGCAGCAAACATGAAAAATGTGCAACGCTCTCATCAAAATTCGAGCTCCGGATTTCCCGACTACCACACGTGCTTCCAATTACACCACAAAGACATGCAGTAAAGTGGAAGAAAATACTTCACATTTTGATACAATAAATTCAAAATATGTATCCTGACTTTCATGAAATGGAAGGTTCTACCCCCAGCATACATTTTAACTTCCAGAAAAAAATTATTTCTCTTGATAAAAAGCTCCTGTGCATTTCCTCAAAATACATTAAACTTCAATTTTATTACAGTGAAATAATTATATTTTGTGATTTTTATATGAAAAATATTGATACTTAAATGCAAAAGAAAACATCCAAGATATAATAATTAATATGTATATAATAATTATCACATTTTGGATGTTTTCTGCAACTGTAATTCAAATCCTCAAAGAGGTAATCTTTCACTTTTACTCACGTTCATTTATCATCTAGTTATCATACGAGAGCTCAGTAACAATGCTGATGCAGTAGAATAAAATTTCATAGGTGCTGCTGTTGTAAAGCAATAAGGGGAACACACTTAAGACTACAGAAAGTTTACTACTTCAGAGATGCTCAAAGAAACACATAGGAAAACTTACGAGGAAGCAGCAGGAAAACTTCCCATGCTTCCAGATTTAATTCTACCCAATTATTCTGAGTATTTTTTAAAAGCATTATCCATCAGATCGATCTCTTTGGCACTTAAGAACAAACATAATGAATGTTGTGGCCAAGCCTAGAACAGCTCCACTATTTTTGGTGCTCTATGCGATCAGAATATTTGGCTTCTGATACATATAAAACATATTATTAATTCAATGTAAAACACTTTTATTTAATTACAGTTTGCAAGAACAAATTAGCTATGTACTCCCCCCCCCGAAAAAAAACAGAACTTCAGACAGCTGCCTACATTATCTATGCTTGGAGCTGGCCTTGATTGTGGGTAAAACTATACAGAGAATAGTAAGTAATGGCTTATTCCAGTCGTACTTTTTATCTGCATATCTTATACAAGTCTTCAAGTGAAAAATACTGGTACAGTACAAAGTCCATAATCTGGACTCGTCGGGACTTTGGCGATTCCGGATTATAGATCATCAAATTTAAATCTGGTAAGATGGCATGCAGAAATTATAAAATTAAAAATATGAAACTGTAATTTATGAAATAAAGAGCAATTATGAACTAAAGGGTATCAAAATTCACACAAAAAAAAAGCAAGTTGCTTAGTTTTTTGTGCTAAACGCGCATGCGAAAACATTAAATGCGCATGCGTAAACGCATTATGCACATGTGTAAAGCATACGAAGAAAAGTTTGTGGCTTTGAGGTCCGGATTATGGATCATTCCGGATAATGGACGTCCGGATTACAGACTTTGTACTGTATTAAAAGCAACTGTAAACTCTGCATTAAAAATATTTTTCAAATCTTTATTTTAAGTAGCAGAAACTACTTAATAAAAACTTACATGCATTTATAATGAGTCCTAAAAAATAAAAAATGTCACAGTTCTTTATTTTCCATTCTAATTAGCTCATCAAAGAAATTCAATAGATTTTTTTCATGTCTCGAAATCTTTACTTGCGATATATATATATATTAGATTTAGATATAACGTTAATATATGTATGCTACTCTTCTCTTAGGGCTGGATTCAGAAATGTATCTATGTATAGATGTATGTGTTCATGTATGCATATATATATGTACACACGTATAAGTATATACACACAATACATTTCTGAATCTTGTTCTGATAACAGAAGAGTACCTACATGTATTTTGACACAAAATTGAACTTTTTCTGAAATGACCTTCTTTTTTTCCCTTTTCTCCCCCCCCCATTAAACTTCATTGCTTTCTTCTTTTATAACCTAAAATCCAAAGAAAATCCTTAAATAAAAACATTTTCCTGACTTATTTACACAATCTTTATTTGTATTCAAATTTTACATATTTTTTGGCCATTAAAATTTGCAAATTATAATAGTAAATATTTTTGGGCATATCTCCAAAGAATTAGAATTTTTTTACTTAAATGTTTTGCAGATACATGTAAATGTAAATACTAAAAAGTTTGGCAGTAATTCAAAATTAGCTTAGAATTAAAAGCAATAATGATGTAAGATCTAAGCATCATTCCACTTTACACAGTTCCAGATCCTTGTCATTTGGATTTATTTTTTGTTCCACTTATTTTTTATAAAATTTAACAAACTGTTTTTACAACTGTAACGTTTTAAATATTTTTTATTTTACAAAAGCATCATATTAGAACAAAAAACATCCTATTACAATTTTTGCTAAATTGAAACTGTATGTAAATTTTTAAGAATGTTATTTAAGGAAAAATAATAACTGAGTAAATTCAAAGTAGAAATTTTGTTTACAAATATTTTAAAAATCAAATTTTTTACGTTGCACTGGTTTCACCTAAATATACTTTTGTTTTTTAAATAGTTAAAATTCTTTTACTTAGAAACTAAATATTGATGAAAATAAAAGAAAACAATTGTGGAGTTAATATACAAAATGATTTACAGCATGTAGGGGTACACTTCCCAAAAGTGCCTGTTTTAATAAACTTACGTTTTTTTAATATGCAAATCTGAAAAATAAGTTACCTATTACACTTCTTTTCCAATGTTGCCAATTCTTGGTTTTAATTTCATTCAGCAAATTTTTCATACAAAATAAAAAATGCTTAATGTTTTATTGAAAATTTATCTTTTACTTCAACGATGAAAATTTATATACAGATGGTATGAATGGGTCCTAGCAATCCATTAATAAAATTTTAACTTTTAAAAATTCTATCCCTTATACACAAAAAAGATTAATAATTTTATTTCAAAATAAAATGGGCTTAATGTTTTTAATGAAAATAATGAAGACAGCAAAACACACTTGATATCCCCCAAGTATGTAAAAGATATGACTCATTTATATATAGCTGAGTTATAATACTATATCAAAAAGCCAAATAGTCATTAATTTTGCATCAGATGAAAGATTTACAAGAAGAAGCTACGTAGTATCTTTTACGAGAATTAGTCTAATTTTCATATGGTACCAAAGAATACTCTGAATTCCAGACAGTTTTGATGTGAGCATTTACTAAGAGAATATGATATTCAACCTAATTACTAACCCCACCAAGAGGTAATCTTTTCATTTAATGGTAAAATCCCAAACATTTTAGCTATATCCATTGCAAATAAAGATCAGAAACATGAAAGGATGATGTTTACTGTCAGTGTGTTGAAAAATTCGCAAAAAGAGCATTAGCTACATTTTTAACAGTCATCTAAAAGACCAGAGTTTCCCAACTTTTTCTACATCAAAGCACATCCCATAAGCACACAAAGTTTCAAAACACACTATGAAGGACTATTTTTTATATTAACATGATTAATTTCTTCAATTTCAAGGGATTCAAGAAATAGGAATTTTCTTTTAAATATTTTTGCATTTTAATGCATAAACATCCCAGTTAAACCTTCATTTCAAGTAAGTTTTTATATGCAACCACATTTAGAGGTGATCTTCTTAGAAGATAACTATTGTGAGATATGCTTCCAATTTTTATTATGCATTATTTCACATTCTTCTAAAAATAGATAAATAAAGACTATATTTATATTGATTGATTCACCAAAATTCCACATATAACAAATTTCAATTAAATTGAAACATAATTGACAAATTTCTCAATAAAAATGTCATTTTTCTTACAATCAATGCCAATTCTGAAAGAACTTGAAAATTCCAAAAGGAGCTTCAATCTTAGATATCTGGCTACCGAGACATATGCAAGTGTCTAGTGAAACAACAGTTGTTGCAAAAACTGATCACCGACTACATGGTAGCTGAAAAAAAGTCAACTTTAAATAAGTCCAAGGCAGTATCTTCAAGTGACAAATGCTATTTTGAACCAGTTTACCATAAGAAAATTCACGTATTGCCAGACTACGAAGGATAATGGTTATACATTTTGAAAAGTTTTGTAAGTGTAAAATAAGTATATAACATACAGTGTCTCACAAAAGTGATGGGACACTTGTGCTTTACAAAAGGAAACTGTAATAAAATAAATTTAAAAAACATGTAAAAAAATTTTGTGGGTGTGTTTCATACTTAAATTTAGTAACAATTATTACATAACAATTATTACATAAGCATCATTCCACTTTACACAGTTCCAGATCCTTGTCATTTGGATTTATTTTTTGTTCCACTTATTTTTTATAAAATTTAACAAACTGATTAAATCCCATACAGAATATTTGGCAAGAATTGGAATCAAGAATTCGCAAACACACCATTTCTTCAAAACAACTATTAAAATCGGTGGTTCAAGAAGAATGGGATAAAATCACTCCACAAATCACAAATCTTTTAAAAATTTTCTCAAAATATTAAAATATTAATTTAATAAAAATACAATTGTTTAGAATGGAGCAAAAAATGGCTCACATAAGTGATGGGACACCATTAGATACTACTGCGTACTACAATAAAAATATTTTTTGGGGTTTTTATTTTTACTCAAAAGCAATCGGCAATAATTTATAAAATTGTCTGCAGTATTTCTCTCCAGTTTGTTTTGGAATTTTTGTGTTTTTTAGCTCTGTGCAGCCATGAATGCTAAACGAAAAGAAACTTTGCCTGAAATTCGAAAATTATTAATTTGCATATTGAACGTGGAAAATCTATTAAAGAAACTCCTGAAACAGTTAACTTGAATCATTCAACAGTTTACAATATCATTGAACGATATAAAAAGAATCATATAATTCAGGATAAAGAAGACCTGGCCGACCATCAAAGCTATCCAATGGAATAAAGCGAATTATCATTCAAGATATTAAAAAAAATCCAAGAATGAGTGCTCCTAAAGTTGTTGCTGATTTACAAGCATTATATGGAGTAATTGTTAAACCTGAGACTATTAGAAGAGTAATTCAATCTGCTGGATATCACGGTAGAGTAGCCAGGAAAAAATTCTTCGTAAGTGAAAAGAATAGAAAACTCAGACTGGCTTTCGCAAAATCCAACATAAATAAGAACTCTGATTACTGGAATGAAGTTATATTTGCTGATGAGAGTAAATTTAATATATTTGGTTCTGATGTTAGAATCTTGGTGTGGAGAAAACCCAGGGAAGAATTTCGCAAACAGAACTTGGTGCCAACAGTAAAACATGGTGGAGTAGGAGTCATGGTATGGGGGTGTATGTCGTCCGCTGGAGTGTTGGTCTTGTTTTTATTGACAGTATAATGGATCAGGCACAAGTATGTTAACATTTTAAATCAAAATTTGAAATCTTCAGGCACGAAAATTGAACCATTCGTAACGATTTTAAATTCTACCAGGGCAATGACTCCAAGCACACTGCTTTGAACGTTAGAGTCTGGCTGCTGTATAACTGTCCTGGAATAATAATAAACCACCACCACAATCTCCAGAATTAAATCACCATACAGAAATATTTGGCAAAAATTGGAATCAAGAATTCGCAAACACACCATTTCTTCAAAACAACTATTAAAATCGGTGGGTTCAAGAAGAATGGGATAAATCACTCACTCCAAAATCACGAAAAAATTAGTCGAATCCATCCCAAGAAGATTAAATCATGTTTTAAAAGTAAAAGGAAATCCAACAAAATATTAAAACCTTTTAAAAAGTAAAATTTTTGGATAAATATTTGTTTGGAAAAGTAAGTTGTCCCATCACTTATGTGACCATTTTTGCTCCGTTCTAAACAATTGTATTTTTATTAAATTAATATTTTAATATTTTGAGAAAATTATGTTATGTAATAATGTTTACTAAATTTAAGTATGAAACACAGCCACAAAAAATTTTTACATGTTTTTTTAATTTATTTGACTACAGTTTCCTTTTGTAAAGCACAAGTGTCCCATCACTTTTGTGAGACACTGTATATATAATAAAATATTAAAAAATGTTAGTATTCTAAAAGGTTTTGCAAGATTCCAAATAGCTATCAAGCCTCGTGTCTTGATTTCATTTAAAAAATCAATTCTTAGTCATTTCATAGGGCTTTGAATTATTTTCTACATGAGACTTTTCTTATGCAGCCCCTATTCACCACATAAAAAAATACTTTTTAATTGCAATGCGAAAACCACTTTTTATGGCTACTCATGAAGTTTTATGCGATTTTTTTAATGAGTTTTCTTTTGTGTAATCCCTATGCATCGCACAAAAGCAGGTTTCAGTGTAACAGTTTTCCTAAATCTTTCACACGGCAGAAGATCCCAAGTACCAAATTTTATTCACAAATAAATTAAATTTTGAAGGAACTTGTGTTATGGAAAACATGCTAAATATTTTTCTGGCATCTTAAGTATCCTTAACATGTGCAGCCAAAAAAAAATCTTAGTATTTTTAAAAAGTTTTAAAAATTTTAAGTTTAAAATGCAGATTTAAATAGCATAAAATTTAGAGTTCTAAAGATGTTAGCGAGCATTTATCCACTACAGAAACTTTTTTAACAATTTAGAATTAACATATAAGCTCACTAAGTGATTTTTTTTTCACCAGTTTGAAAATTTGTGCCAATATTTAAGTATAAATATCTATGAAATGGTTTGTATTATTTTTTATCAAACTTAGTATTTGTGCATAATTTGAGACACAGAATAAAATTATGGAACAAGCTCAGTATTCCATTTAAAAAAAGTCAAATTGAGTCAAAATACATTCTTTAAAATACATACAAATATAATATATCCAAAGTTGCACTTTTGAGACATGAAAAATGCAAGTTAAATTTCATCGATCCACAAACTGAAGATATAGAACTACCCCCCCCTTTTTAACTCGCTGTAGAAATGAATTCTTATCATACCTTTACACGATATTTTATACTAAATTACATATGTATTCAAAACAAAAATTTCTTAATTGATCTTTATAATGTCCTAATATTAGCAGTTTGGTAACACTTTTATAAATTTATATAATTCTTAAGGCCCTGATCTATTATTAGCAATAAGTAACAATCCATCATTAATGTCAAGCACCTTCTGGTAGCTAACACAAAATTTTGTAGGTGTAATGGTAACTCCAAACACAAAAACTTGACTTTTACCATTTAAAACTACAATTATTATGGACTATATCATAAGATATAGTCTATAATAATTGTAGTTTAATGGTAAAACTGAATATATCATAATTCATATAGACTGTATCATCAGCAAAATATTCTATTTTAAGCATAGCATTCAAGAATGAAGGAGTGTGAACATTTTTCAAAATTGAAGACATTTTTAATAAATAAGATAAGAGCACTTTTTACATATATATATATTAAAAATTATTAAAATATATATATATTAAAAACTGTGGTCTCTTTGGGATTCATAATTCATAATTAATTTGGTAATTCAAGGTATTTTCCGTTTTCAAATTATTCATTTTTATTTCTACATTTTTTAAGTTGCATTAAAAGTTTTTTCTAATTATTCTTATTGAGCATACTCAGTTTAAAATTTTCAGTTTATCTAAATTCATTACTTAATACATTTTACTGGCTTTTGTGTACTTACATAACTATGTATTCACATAAGCCATATGTTATGTTAAATTAATAATAACTGTGATTTGAAGTTTTCTTACAGAAAATGCAGAATAATATTACAAATAAAAATATTCTGCTACATTACAAATACTTTACTAAGTATGTATTGCTTAAAAATTTAATAATTTTTTTTCCATTCAGCATTTTGCTTGAGTTTTGAATTTTCCTCTTCTATGCAAATAATTTGAATAAAAACTAATTTGCCACGATTCTTCATGTGTTTGCAAAATTTCTGCAACTAAAAACTCAAATGCATATTTCAGTAACTAAACCTATAATCAGTCTCAGTGAAATGCTTCACTCATATAAATATATTTATCCATCAATAAGCCAAACAAAAGCATTTAACACTTTTTAACCATTTATGATTATGCATAACTAACAATACTCAATCAAAACAGCTGTGACTTTTTTTAATGAATAACAATCAGGTTTTTAGTAACAATCAGGTTAGTATGTAAAATTAAGTCACACATTTCAAATTTTGCACTACTTCTACAGATAATAATCAATTTTATATCAGTTATATTAAAAAATTACCACATTTACAACACAAATATTTAAAAATTTTACAAATAATTTTCCTTAAATGTGCTTACCTCTCGTGTATCCAAAGCATCAGTCAAAGCAAGTTTGTATGAAGTGCGAGGAACAATTAATTCAGGAGTCTCTTCATTTGAATCCTTTAAAATGAATATTTGACATGAAAGAATTGAAAAATAACTTTTAATGAACTTAAAAATTAAAAAATAATTTTTAACTGATACAATATTTTACATTAATAATAATATAGCTCTGGTCTGATATTTCACCTATAAGATACACTTTTGCATAAACCCAGTTACATTTATTATAGCTTAATGCACTAAAGCTCTAACTGCAAAAATCTACATACATATAATTATCTAATAAACATATTGCATACAATATGCATATCAGAAAATTCAAGTAAAATTTTGTGAAATGTAATACATGGGGATTTGAAAGGCAGGAAATGCATCATACTAGACATACATACACACACACACGCATATTTACAAAGCCTACAAACTGGTCTGCTCTCACTGGAAAGATCTCCTTGGCGGTCATATTTGGGAGCTTGAGTTATCGCCTTGTAGGCTTTCTAACAAACGCTAAACACACCTTGTGGTCTTTCAGCACAGTGAGGAGAAACAGCATTTGTTTCATTAGATAAATTTGTGTTTTATGAAAGAAAGCTAAAGAAAAATGTGTGGAATACATTTTAAATAACCTACTGATCTTATATTAATAGTTTATTTGTATTTGGTTAAAGAATTAATTGAAACTGTTAAAAGTACAGTAATTGTTTTGCAAGAAAAGCTTTTACTTGGAAATGGCATATTTACCTTTTTGCCATTTCTGTTAGTAACAGTCTGCTGTGTAAATTTCCACAGTGCAAATAAAGGAATATTAAAAAAAAATTCCACTGCATTAATTTATACAAATAAAGGAATATTAAAAAAAAAATTGAAATAAAATTTAAAGTCTCCACGGTGTATTTGAATAGTTTTCAGTGTGATTATGTATTCTGAAATGTATGTAGAGGAACATAAATATTTTCATTTTTGGCACAGATCATAAAATAAACTCATACTGCACATAGAATTCGTAGCTATGAGGCCTGGAAAATTATATCAGACACATATTCAAGTAATACAGTATTGGTGACAGTAATACTTGACATAGATTTTAAACAATTAAAAAGAGACACTGGTGCTTTATATAAATTGTGCAGAGTTTAAATGCATATTCTTTTAGAAATTTTATTAATTTCTCATAGTGATTTATAAAGCATTTTACCTTAAAGAATGCATTATAAACATAATAAACTTCCTAAAAGAAAGGTGATATTATAAATTCTGTAAAATAAACAGTAGTAAGTCTAAAGCAGTCCTAAAATTGCTGCTCATCTTAATAAACAGTTTCTCTGTTAAGAATCAATAAGAACAGATGATAATTTCAAATTATAATTATTTTTATAGTGATAACAGCAACAAATTGCTATAGCCATAAAACACTGCTAGTTTAATTTAGGGTTGAATTTTTTGTAGCAGAATTGTACAGCTGCATGGATTTTTTTCTTGAATGTGCTATTAATATGATCTATTTAATTGGAAAATCATCTATTTATTGAACTACAAAAAATTAATTAAAATCATAATAGCATACAGTTTAATCATGTTAAGAAAACTCTCCTTTTTATGTTTTAAAATTATTAAAACAATTTTGTATTATCTACTGAGAAAAATTAAACTACATTATAAATTTATTCCCTGAATTTAAATTTACTAAAAAGTAGTCTAACTGATTTATAGACGTACGAGTTCCTATGTTTGTATGTAAATGAGAAATGAATATAAACTGACATACTGATAAACATTAAAAAATAAAGTTAATTGATTTAAACATTGAATTAAAACTTTTAAACAAGATTATAATATCTGCGGAAACAACTGCAAAAAGTATAGTTTTTTCAAATAAAAATGTAATGTTTATAAATTTGCAAATTGATGAATAATGTATTTTTATATGTATGCAGGTAATAAAAATATCTAAATAAACGCTTTTAGCAAATGATTAATATCTATCACTAAGAGAAGAATATAATAATCTGGAATAAAAATAATATGAGCTATCAACATACACTTTTGAAAACATGTCATCCTGGAAGTTTTCATGCAAAAGCAGAAATGTAATTAATAAAAAAACATGGAATTCTAATGGAAAATGCAGTTAAGAATTATCTGTTAAGTTAATTATCTGTGCAAGTATTAATTTTCTCTTATTACTTTCTCACACTGATTACAGATATATATTGGGTTTCGGCTTCCTAGCATTGTTATATATGAAGTAATATTAAATATCTACATATGATTGCCTTATATCTGACAAATAGGTGTGCATAAGATGAATTCCCATTTTCTAGCAAAATACTTTATTCTACACTGTTTTTAGCTTTTATTACTGAAGAGTGAGTGAAAATTTTCTTGCCATTGTTATAAAAGGCTCTGTTGATGCACATAATACTATATATGCATAGCATTCATTGTAGATGTGAGAAATTAAATGAAAGCTCTAATTCCAGTCCCATACTGTAAATAATTAAGAAACTGTTTAAACAAAAAAAAAAAAAAAAAAAAAAAAAAAAATCATCTGAAAATTAAAAGTTTTCAGATGTTCTCAATTCAAAACTGAAGTACACTGGGCAAAAAAAAAGTGGGGGACAGTTCTATATATCCTGTTCTACTGGGCTAATTCAAGAAATTCAAACTGCATTTTTCACGCATCGAAAGCGCGGCTTAGGATATATACAGTCAAAAGTCGTTAATCCGGACTCGTCAGGACTTCGGCGATTCCGGATTATCGATTTTTCGGATTATAGATCATCAGTATAAATCTGGTAAGATGGCAAGCAGAAATTATAAAATTAAAAATATGAAACCGTAATTTATGAAATAAAGAACAATTATGATCTAAAGGGTATCAAAATATACAAAAAAAAAAAGCTTAATATTTATTTGTTTACTTTATTAAACATTTCTTTCAATGTAAGTTGTTTTAAGTTGCTTCGTTTTATGTGATAAACTTTCTCTTTAATTCTATAAACAGACACAATTCTTGTTCAGTTACAAAGTTCCGCTGTTCAAGTCCCGTTAATTTTTGTGCCGAGAATACCGACTAACTTATTAATCGAAATTTTTTCGTTTTCACTAACCTCTCTGTCATATTCTTCTTGTCTTTATACACTTTTTGCAGCAATTCCACTTTTTGGTTGATGGACATCGAAACATATTTTCATTTTGTACGATCCTTTGGGAGTTCCAGAATCGGAAATTCTATTTGACATAATCAAAAGTTCAGGTTTACTTTTATAAAATTGCTCTTACAGTCTGCAAAAAATAATAAGCCGGATCCAATACGAAGATTAAGGAACAACGCAATCATCAACATTAACTGAACTAGATAATTTTAGATTATACCGTCCGTTATACATAAAATGTGCACGCGAAAACGTATTCTGTGCTTGCGCACACTCATATGCACAGTGTATAAAATGTCTTACGCGCATGCGTAAACGCCTATGCGCATGTGTCAACGCGGCGCATGTGCAGAAAGTTTTTAGCTTTGAGGTCCAGATTATAGATCATTCCGGATTATGGGTGTGCGAATTAACGACTTTTGACTGTATTAGATTTATATATAGCATTATTCTAACATTGATATTTTGTCACAAAATCAAACTTTTTCTAAAATTACATGCCGATTTTTTACAAATTTCGATTTTATGATTCAAATTATGCCTAGATATTAAATTTTGTAAAATTTGGTGCTAAATTTACGAAGAAATTCAAAACTTTATCTTGGTGCTTTTTTTTTTTTTTCAGTTAGCGCCAAGAATAATTTACTTGGCGGAATTCCTAACTTATAGCAAGCTATTTTTATTTTCCTTTGCCTTTTTTGTTTGTGCACGAGCAGAAAACAAAAAAAAAAAAGGTCCATCATTTACACTTTCAGATAATTTTAATGTTCCCGAGCTTTTAGAATATTTTCCCATGCAATTACAAAAGCATCTCCAAATTCAAAAGAATTTATCAAGCACATGAATAGCTGAAATTTAAGTTTAGATTTAAAAAGAAGCAATTTTGGCTGCAGATGCGGACACCTGAACTTCTTTATCTTAAGACACAATAACACGCCGAATAAATACTAATTCAGAAGTCAAACAACAAAAATCAGCGTTATATTTACCGAATTTTCACAGTGAAAATTCGGTAAATATAACGCTGATTTTTGTTGTTTGACTTCTGAATTAGTTCTTTATCTTAGTTTATAGAATATTGTACTAAAAAATTTTATACAGTGGAAAGCATGTTTTGTGCAGTAACAATCTAATAACTGGAAATGAAATCAGCTCCAGATAATTAACTTTAGGGATTTTAACATGTTGTTAACAAAAATGAGAAAAATACTGAAATATTGGCAGGAACTTATCACACTTATCCTTCTCATTAAACTTTTTCATTACAGGTTTCATTCGTATTCCCATACTTTTTCTTGTCAAATACAATTCTAGATTTACAGCTAAGTTCACTAATATGTGTATAACTGAATCTCATCACGACTTTCATTTTTTTACATATTTTTTAAATAAATAGAAATGTAAATTCATAGAGGACAAAGCGCATTTATTTTTTTCTAATGTGGATGATGATTAAAAAATGTTAGAGAAGCATTGGTCTACAGCAGGCAACAGTATTTCTAAAAGCATCAGGAATCACCTCTTTTCCCTTCTTTATTTATTGTTAATCTAAGTCAAAGGTTTAAGAGCTCTCTGAAGAGGAGATACTCTTTATGGCCAAAACGACTGCATTCTGATAGCCGGATATGTCACAATCCATTGGAAAGATATCAGACATAAAAGGGAAGCCAATAGTCATATAGGAATTCACACACAATAGTACTTCTAAGAAATTTGAAGTTTACAGAAGATACCAGTGCCCAAGTAGCTTTCCCAGCATAAATGTATCAATGTAAACATGATGCCAGTTACTCAAGGAAAGAAAATATATTATGTATACAATTTCATTCATTTTAAAATATTATGTTTAAAAGCAACATACTAAATTAGGTTAAAATTTTGTATCAAAAAACTGTAAATGTATTTTTCCAACTTCAAACATAACAACAAAAAAACTAATTTATAATAAAATAATATAAATATCAAAAACAATTCACCTACCCATTTCAAGGAAAGAGCTAATATCTGAAGAATATCTAGAATTGTCCACAAAATTACCACTCCAAAGCAAATGAGGAAACCTGAATTTAAAAAAAGAATTAATATGGTTGAAATTTTAAAATTCAAAGTCAGAAAAATACAGATATATATATCTATATATATATATTTATATACTAGAATATTTTGCATTTACCTGTCAACTAGCATTGAAAGATATTTATCTGCGACACGTCGAATTTGCTTCTGTGGGTGATTGAATTTAACAAGTAAGAATGTTGCATGTTCTTCAAGTTCATCATCACGTTCTTTATTCCGAGGCTATAAGGAATTGATAATAATACTTCATATATAATGTAGATTTAAAAAAAAACAAAAAAAAAAAACATTAGTTTAAGCCTTCAGCACACATCCTTTCCTACGACATTATGACATGCACCAGGTGAATTTGACACTAATTTTTACTCTAGCTTCTCAGCAAGATATAGACATTTTAAACAACAAACAAAACAAAACAAAAAACTACACCTAAACAAGTTTATACAGTTATTAAGATTTCTTGAAGCAGGAGACATGAAAAATATGCTATGCCTCGCCGGGACTCAAACTCTGAACCTCTCAAATGCACATCGAGTATTCTTCCAACTACACCATGAACGTAAAGGAGGAAGAAAATACCTTATATCCTCCCCCTTTCAAAGGGCAACTGGGGATTACGGGACCCAGTCAGCCAAATCCTGGTGGTGACAAATTACTGTCTGCCACCTTTTGCAGGCACCAGTTGCAGAGTCATTGGGATTTTTTGTTCCACTGCATCTATTTCTCCTTTGGTCAAGTTGTAAAAGATAATCACTTCAGGTTTACATAAATCACCCACAGTAGAATCAATTCCAACATTCAAAACAAATGAAGATAAAACTAGAACAGATTTTTCTTTTTTCGGAAATTTGTAAGGTTAAAGCAATTTTTTTCCCATAAAATCCAAAATGCTAGGAATGTACAGCCCTTGACTTATGAGATAATAATTCTTTAGAAACTTCTTTTTCATTCTTTCTAATTGTAGTAACAGTTGTAAGTTTGTTTTTCTTCAGTAATTCTCATGCTAAAAGGACATTTATCAACCAATCATCCATGGTTATATTAGGAATAGTTAGACTGATTAGAGCAATAAGTCTCTTCAAAACATGATCGAGATTTTTGTCTGTTCAGAAAGGTCCATTAAATTGCCGTCCAACATAAAACCTCCAAAATATGTGCATAAAAAGTGCACGTGTCACACAGTGCAAAAATGTTATACCATATTTCACTGATTTGCTCTTCATGTATCGACGAAACTTCTGCAAAAGGGTTCTTGTATTTAAAAGTATTTAAAAAGGGTACAGTATTTAAAAATGTGATGACCTTTTCAAAATTATTAACTATTTTTTTCAAAGATGTTTCTTATCGGAGCTAGTCTATGAAACTCTTTTCTTGCTTGACAACTGTGTATGTTATCAAATCTGAATCATCGAAGGGCGGAAATGAAAATAGTTAATTGACATAGTCAAAAAAATTTGCAAGCTTGTTCCATTTGCTGACCAAAAATCTTTCAGCTTCTTTCTTGCTTCTGCTTTGTTGGTTGGTAATGCTCTCCGATGATTTAATTTAGTTTTAATGAATTCAAAATTTGTGCAATACGCGACCATTTTTGATGATGACATCATAAATATTATTACCATCAAAAATGCCTAAAAAAGGTTTCACTAATACTTCTAAGATATCTGGAATTGGGTTTTACACAGGGTAAATGTGACATAATATAATAAGATCTTTCCACATTTGTCAAGACAGGTCCTGCCATCCATCCAGTTTCATTTTTGCCAGTATTCCCCAAAATTATCTCTATCACTCAAGTCAGAATCCTCTAAATTCATTTCTTGTTCACTTTCCATATTGTGCTCACTTTCGGAAAGACAAATTTGAGCTTCCATCAATTTTGTTGTCAAATATTTGCAAGATCTTGCAACTTCTGCTTCCATTCACACTCAGTCAGATTCATAATGTAAAATGACTGAGACGTTAGTACCAGCAGTGGGTAAAACTGACCTAGACTCATTAGCCTACTCAGAAATCATTTATTTTTTAAGTTTCTGTTCCTAGGAACCCCTCTTACTATGCAACCCAACAAGATACCAAAAGTGACAGATGACAGTTTTGAGAAATTCCTAAAATATCTGTGAACAATAAGAAATATTAAATCAAAAATACTCGGTGCATGTGCTCATGGATTAAAAGAAATCTAAAAGTAGAACAGATCTGAATAATCTGGTAATTTTTACAAAAATATTAATATATAAAAGGCATATAACTATGACAATCCCTAATTCCTAAGTTATTGAAAACACATATTTTATCAGTATTTCAGTTTTCAGTACTTAAATGATTTAACTCATCTGATATCACTAGCAATATTTTATGAAACAAAATTTCTATATTTTTCTGAATAAAATATATTTTAAACAACTTTTAAAAATAATATTTTTAAACAAACAAGCTCACATGATTAACTACATAATTTGCATTCTCCAGAAATCACATTCATGTACTTTGGTCTTTAACATTTCTTAATGTTCTTTCAGAAAATAAAATACTAAAACAAAACTAAATAAAGATTAAAATTTGATGAAATTTTAAAATGAAAATTAATTTTACAATAACTTTTTACTTGATATTTAGCAAGTTAATGTGTTCATACTTTTTAAAGAAAACATTCAGAGAGCATCTTGTCAAAACTATACAGGGGGCCAAGGTACTGAAATAGAATAAATTAAAGATGATACACTAGACTCTAAATTATTCTTAGTAATCAATAAACAGATATGCAAAATCATCTGTTATGATCCTTTTATAAGGCCATATTTTCAAACAATATCATAACAGAGAGCAAAGCCAATTAATTTTAATTCAATTTATTCACTCATATAGAAAACAGCTCATCAGCATATTGGACTGCCCCTCTTAACCCCCTTAGTTGTTTCATATTCATCTTCATACTCTGTAATAAAATTGCAAAAGAATTAATCCGACTCCAATAAACACATTACATTTTTCAAATGCATATTTATTTTCACAAACTGGCTCCAAGCTTGGCTTACATTACAATTCTAATCTTTTTAGCTGGATCAAAATGTACTTACACAGACACACAAGAGAAAGTGGAATATAAGCCGTTTTTAAAATTCCCTGCATCCACAGTTCATGCATTTGTCACCTAGGCTGCTGCTCCATGTATACCCATGGATGTATTTCATAACATCCTTTTCATGCCTTACAAACCTGAGTCACTCATTCAAGAATCCCCTGGTATGATAACCATACAGTTTTTATCAATTTTTCTTCCTCTACTCGCTGTCTGTTTTCCACTATCCAGCATTCAACTAATAGAAAAGCTTAAGTAACTGGAATATTTTCAAATTTTAGAAGTTTTTTTTAACATAAAATTAAACAAATAAGAGATCTCTAACTTCATTATAAAGCATGATTCAATTCAAACAAAAATTATCACTTAACAGTGCAATTTAGTGCCAATAATGGATATGTACAATGTAATACTTCTGCTTTATGTAAACCCGTTTAATTCCTGATAAGTCGGTTTAATTTTTGTAAAAACAATACAAGTTAACTGCTGCTTTATTTTTTCAATCACATTTTGAAAAAATGATTAAAATTTAGAACTTGTCTTTAGTGAAACAGCATATAGTAGAACATTTTTTAATTTTCGTGATCAAGAAAAGTGTTCCACACATGAAAAATGTGACTTATATGAAAATGGGTAAACACTAGCTTACAAAGTGGAAATTATGATGAGAGATTTTAAGTTTTTTTCTTTTTTTCATGTTCATACCTCTATGCGCTGATTAACTAAATAAAGAGTATCTGTACTTTCAAACTTCTGTCGGAATGACTGGCAGAAGTTTGGCGACATCTCCACCAGTTTTTATGATTGACAGCATTTTGCAATCAAATATGATGTTTTATTTAGGCATTTATGTTTAGAATGCCCTTTTTTCTTTTGAAATCTCACATAATTTACATGTACATGATATTGATATGTAAATTCATAATAAATAAAATGTCTCATTTTATAATTTAAGACTGGATATTTTCCCCTCTATTCATTTGGCTTTTTTACTGTGAACTGTAATTTTTATATCTCAATTAGCATGAATTTGACATACCAAAAATTTGGCATTTTCCAAGCTTTCCATATATTCCAGCTTTTACTGTATTAGATAACTGTATTCGTTCTCAGCCATAAATCAACTTTAAGCTTTTAACTTCATAAAAGCTTTAAGCTTCTTAAAAATGAGTTCTGCTGAATCAAAAATAATTTTCTAGGAATTTATTTCAAAACAGCTGTAAATTTTCATCTTTAACCATTAGTCTGGAACATTTTGCAAAGAAAATACACAATATTACACACAATGGATAATCCAAAGAAATAATCAGGAATTCAGATACATTCTATAGTTCTTATTATTTAGACACATGGAGAAACAGCAGACAGTAATGTTAAAATTTTCAAATTGCCAATAGTTATTTTCATGCATAAAATGAAATATTATTATAATTTAATTCAACTTAATTTAAAAATAAAACTGTATGAATTAAAACATTAAGAATTTTTTTATACAAAGAATAGTTTATACATCACAATACTAAAGACATTCTCTATCATAAAATTACAGTCATACCCTTCTATAATGAACTTCATTGGACTGAAAGTTAAATAAATTATTATATAAAAAGTGCAAAAATTTGCTGATGAATCAAAAAGAAGAGGGGAGAAAAAAAATGATTAACAATATCACATATGTTAATAAAACAATAATATATAATAAACAAAGCATTATATAATAATGTGCAATTATTAAATTTTGTTGTTCAGTTTCACCATAATTTAACCTGATAAATTACTTAGCATATCTGCTGCTGAAATATGCATTTATAATTATCGACCATTATCAATATGCATTTGTAAATATAAAAAATTAATAACAAAAGCAGATGAATTTACTTCCAGGTTCTGAGTACAAAAATCATCTCCAATTTTCTGTTGGTGTGACGTAGACTGCAGGAAAATTTCGTCCATATTTTTGTCCCAAAACTGAAAAAAAGACTCCTTCACTTCTGGTTTTACAGAGTGGGTGATTTAAAATATTTTAATGACATGCATTGTAACTCTGGAATCTGCTTGAGTGCATTCTTTCAATGTTCTCATCAGCATAATATGAAGATTCTTAAATATCAGCATTTCTCAGTTTTAATTTCTGCCATAATATGTTCATCACTTAGATCTCTGCATATTTGACATCCTCATTCAGTAAAGTTCCATCTCGCATTATAACAATATTGAAATGTCACTTTTTCTATCTATTAAATGATAGTCATCTTTCTTCCTTTGCTAGACAAGCACACAGAAATCAATTTTAGATGGTTGATTCTGTAACAAGTTTTCAAGACTTTTCCTAATACAGTCAAAAGTCGTTAATTCGGACACCCATAATCCGGAATGATCTATAATCTAGACCTCAAAGCTAAAATCTTTCTGCGCATGCGCCGCGTTGACACATGCGCATAGGCGTTTACGTGTGTGCGCAAGACCTTTACGACTGCGCATATGCGTCTGCACAAGCGCAGAATATGTTTTCGCATGTGCGTTTAATGTATAATGGACGGTATAAGCTAAAATTATCTATTTCAGTTAACATTGATGATTGCGTTGTTCTTTAATCTTCGAATTGGATCCGGCTTATTATTTTTTGCAGACTGTAAGAGCTATTTTATAAAAGTAAGCTTGAACTTTCGATTATGTCAAATAGAATTTCTGATGCTGGAGTTCCCAAAGGATATACAAAACGATATGTTTCGATGTCCATCAAACAAAAAGTGGAATTGCTACAAAAAATGGATAAAGGCATATCCTTTGTTTATCTAACTGTTTCGAAATCTGTTTATCAATTTCACGCTGCTCTGCATGGGGGGGGGACATCGCGGCGCGCAATGAACTGGAAGTTGATCTGTCAGCACTATCGTTATCTTCAGGGCAGATGTTTTTATTTTATTCGGCTTATAATTCCTTACTAAATGTAGTATTTCATCTCGATGTACTCCGTCTTTGATATGATTTAAATCAAATTCATTGTCATTATAAATATCACAAATACAAATGAAATAGTTTTCTGGTTGCAATTTTCTAATTTCGGCTTATGCGTGTATGCTTTACGCATGCGCGCATTGAAAAATGTTTAATAAAGTAAACAAATAAATATTAAGCTTCTTTTTTTGTAAATTTTGATACCCTTTAGATCATAATTGCTCATTATTTTATAAATTACGGTTTCATATTTTTAATTTTATAATTTCTGCATGCCATCTTATCAGATTTAAACTGATGATCTATAATCTGGAAAAATCGATAATCCGGAATCGCTGAAGTCCCGTCGAGTCCCGATTAAAGACTTTTGACTGTACAGGCTTTAAGAAGTGGAACATTATATTCCATTTGGTTACAGTACTCTTCCAGATTGCTTAAAACAAAAACTGTTTCTTGTAACGACACTTCGAAGTTCCTGATCAAATCTTGATCCATAAGTTGCAGCATCAAAAATGCACTCAAAGGCAAGAAAAGAATCATAATCTAATCTAATTTTTTTAGATCTGGATGTACAATACAGTTATCAATAAAGAGCAGAATCATTTGTGCTTTGGCCAAAAATTCTTCATCTCATTTTCATAGATCTTTTTGAAACAATTTTGACATAATTTTTGTTTTATAGGGAAACAGGAATCAATTTCACATTTTGAGGTTTTCCAGTCACCAAAAGCTTACACCATTCAGCTCTTTTCATATTGCACTCTTGACAATTTCTTCCCAGTGCTTCTTTGATCTTTAAATTTTAACTTTTGGTTTGGCATAATCTCATAGAAATACTGAGTTTCATTGGCATTAGAAGTTCATAAGAGTAATTATATATATATAATAGTAAATAATAGTATATATATAGTATATATATATATATAATAGTAAATAATAGTATATATATAATACATACATATATATATATAATAGTAAGAGACATCATGCAAACATTTCTTTCTTCTGTTTCTTGACTTTTAATTCTGAAATGCTCCCTAATTCTAAAACAATTTTTCCTGAATAAATATTGTTCCACCAAACTTATCCAATCAGCCACTTAAACATAAAAAAGGCAGTCTCTCCAAAATGTTTGGCAAAATCATAGTCTTTTATCTGAAGTATTTGTCCAGATTTTCAGAGATTGTGGCTTCTCTGAATGATGAACCATTTTAGCCATGCTTGTATTATCTTCTTGTGTATCTTTACTTTGGTCTTTTGCAATATTTATCTCATATCCAATTTTTTCTACAAGCAAAAATTATTGAATCTCATTTTTTCCATATGTTTCAACTGCAGATTTGGATAAAATATATTCCTAATAAATATCAGTTTGGCTACATACATTCTGCATTTTTTGCATAATACACATCTTATCTTTAGTGGAAAACATTTTACATTTATAACTTAGCACACAGAAGAGTTTATGATACACTATTATACAGATAAAATAGTTAAGTCCAAAAACAGAAATTTTGTTGTTCTAGAAAAGATGAAAAATGAAAATTATTTCTTCACTAATCTGTCCTATCCCATGTCTATTGAAAATGAATTTATTTCACTAAAGATATGAACTGCTGCAAAGCAAAGATGCAATAATCTATAGAAAAATATCCTAAATCTTGCAAAAGACCTAAAAATTGTAAAACTTCCCACACAGAAATAGACTTGTAAAGCAGTTTTTAAGTACTGAAATAAAACAAATCGACAAAAATAAAAAATTTTCATCCCTTTATGGAGCATCCATGTAAGAGTTTTAATGTCACAAATGACATAGGCCAAAATTTTGTTGCTAGGCAACTAACTTGTTCCATCATCATGGAACCTAGCATGAGAATATTTTGTCTAAATGTTTTAACTTTTCTTCTTTATGCTAAGAATTGACCAATCACAGCAAAGCAAACATGAATTCAGATCCAGCCGACGATTTCGTTACAAAAATTGTGCATTTATATGTATATACAAATCTATTTTCCGTGATTAACTACAGCACATATCCTTGCCGACTTTTATAAATATTAAAACTGTGACAGTTAAGCCATCATATGAATGCTGCCTAAATAACGAACCAACCATAAAGCCCCAAGCTCAAAAGAATATATTCACTATTTCCCTTTTTCTATGAACAGCAAAATTTTTTTTAATTTCCATCATAACATCAGCCCTGAACAGAGGCTCAATTAAAGGCAATCTGGTAGCTCAATCAAAGAACTTGTAAAAAATCAGACAACCCATTCATGTTCTTTAGCAAAATGTCAAACACACCATACACTTGGAACTAGGTCATGTATCATAACATACACTTACTCCATGACATAGTTGACCAAGAATTGCACGTTACCCTGTTTTATATAGCATTCGCTTAGAGTATAGAAAAAGGTGAGTGTGGAAATAAAAGAACAGTAATGAAAAAAGTATTTTACAATGTACACATATTGCTGGATCTTAATATGTTAAAAATGGATGATTTTAAGGATTGATAATATTTCAGTTAAAAAATTTACAGAACTTATGGGGAAAATTATGAAAAATACAAAATGGGTTTCAGTCAGAGAACATTTCATAACATTCAATTTTCGCACGTATGGAGGTTCACTACAGAAGTATAAAATAGCATCAAATGCAAAGGAAATTGAATAGAACCAAAACATTCATTCATTGACATCAGGGCATTTGTTATAAACTAGATTCACTACAGCAGGGTTTGATTATGTTAATAAAATTACACCCAAACAAATATTTGTGAATTTCTTTTAAAAGTGAATAAAATCAAGAAGATAATATAGTTATGTATAAAAACAAGATATATTTATTTACCTTGATTGATATCACATCTAAGTATGTTTGAAAAACTTTATCTGAAACTACTAAAATGCATTGCCACATGCCAGCTTTATCTTTTTGTATAGTAATATCTTCCAGATAGTGCAGCATGCAATGGAAAGGCGTTTTTCCTTGTATATGCCGAACCCTTCAAATAGTAAAATACTGTGATTCATAAAAAAAAAAAAAAAAAAAAAAAAAAAAAGGCACAAAAAATATGTTAAAAAATTAGTGAAAAACTCAATACAGAATATATATATTCTGTATTAAGTTTTTTGTACTGTATATGTAAATCATCTACCAGAAATAATTAAGTAAAAAGTAAAACATTTTTAAAATAAGCAAGCCTAAAGAAAATTCTAGAAAAAAGTATCAAATTTTTAAACTAAGCAGGCCTAAAGAAAATGCTAGAAAAAAGTAACAAATTTTTAAACTAAGCAGGCCTAAAGAAAAGTAAAGCATTTAATAAATGGAAACAATTAAAACTTTTCATTTATGAAAGAAATGAAACAGTTCTTCTACCTTAATGTTTCTAGATGATACACAGACAATAAATATGTACATTGTGCAAAATTTAATTTATTTATTAGAGGCGTTACATCTGCTTGATCAAGTAATGCAAGAATCTGATTCCTTAACTCCTGAATTTCACCCTAAAATTAATAAAAAAAAGGTGTGTAAAAATATCTCAGATAATTTTTAAATAATAAAGAACATGCAAATTTAAAACAAACATAGATAAAACAAACAAGGAAAATAAATGTATTATTGAAAAAAAGAAAAATATACATTCTTTTATTACCATATGTATACATATTAAATATTACAATACAAAAATTGTGTACAAATAATAAATATTTTTTGTTTCAATAGCTTTAATATTGCATTTATGATACAAATTATTAGTATTTTATATATTTAATCTATTTATTATTTTATTTATTTTTATTTATTTATTTATTTTGAAGGGGGAAAGGTGTAACTTTCTGTTCAGAAACTTCAACACTAATAAAAATGCTTGTTGATAAACCCACAGCTTTTAAAATCAACCATCGACTTCTTTGTATTTATTAAAAAAATAAAAAGCAAGTATTTTAAACAAAATAACACCATTCACTATATTTAATACAAAAAATATGTTTTCTTGCTTTTAAAAACTATTCTTGTAACATATTTTTCATATTCAGTTTTTCAGTTTTAGCTTTTTTACTGTTGTATGCTCTTTTAAATATTTTCCACTTTTATTTCATCAGAATGGAAAGATTTATACAAAGCATATATAATTACTATGATCAAAAGCATTTAATTTCTTTTTCTCTTATTATTAAATATTCTAAATATATCTATGGTTATTCTTTGTGCACTTAAAGAAATGTGACAGGAGTTTGGTCCATTGATTACACTATATTGTTCTTACCAAATAAGATGGCCCAGAGAAGGCAAATTTAAATTCTTGTATATATTTTGTTTTAATTTTTAGCACTAACATTTTATTCAACAACACTGGACTTTCATGAAACATTCATTTGCAGCTTATTTATTGATTAATATTTATTAATTATATATATACATTTATATTACAGCTTATAGCATTTACCATCATAATCTTTTTTCTCCTTTGCTTTATTAAGCAAACACATTTTCAATTTCATTTATATTGTTTAAGATATAAACATATACACACACACAGAAATAAAATAAAAATAAATATTCAAGATTCAAGTTTTTTTCTCAAATAAATTCAAGACCTTTTTGAATGTGTATCAAGGTATAAGTTAAAAAATACAGCATACGTAATTTCAAGCTTGCTACGACATTTCAAACATGACATTTCACAGCAAGCTTGTAATTTCACAACTTACACTTATATATATATATATATATATATACATATATAATTTATTTACTTAAAAGATGTAAAATATATATAATCAATATCAAGCAAGAAAGGTAAACTAACAGGAAGGCATAATAAAAAATAATTTAAGCAAAAACTTGAAAAGAAAAGTGTAATAGATGTGCATTAATATAAAAATAATAATAATTAACTATTAAATCAATGGCATTGCTAATGTGGAGCAAAGGGAAACATCTGTCTCCGGGCACCAAATTGATGTTAAAAAATTTTAGAATAAAACGTTTTTTATTCTTGGCACACAGAAAGACACACAAAAATCGTCGGTTGTCTCCAGGCACTGAAAACCCTAGCTACGGCTCTGTATTACACATTAATTAACAAATAACAAAAAAAAGTTGACAATTTCTTGGTCTCTCTGGCAGAGAACAACACAAAGAATTATTCACACAGCCAATGTTTCTGAATTACATCTGAGTGGATTAGAAAACAAAATAACCAAAGAAATTCTTTTTGAAATCTAAAATAATTAAATGAAATTACATTGATACATAATTTAAAGTATTTTGAAAAATTGTAAGAAATTTTAAAAAACATAGGTCACAATCTGCTCCTATGCCACCCAAATGAAAATATGAATACAATATACAGAACAGAAAAAGAGAGTAAGTCAAAATTTTAAATTATATAAACATTAATTTTACCACAGAAACAGCATCACTTCTAATGGCAGAATTATACTGCAATTCTGATCTTAGATGCTCTCTTGATACTAGAAGAGGTGACTTTGCAGCAATTTCCTTTAGTTCTTCAAACCATTCTTGAGGCCATAGACCTAATAATTGAATTGTTAGAAAATAATCCATGGTGAAGGACACATGTTTGGAAAACAATTTATTTAATTGTATGGAATTTGAATTCAAAACTGATATATTTTTACCTAACAAAGCAAATTTCACTGTAATATAAATTAGAGAAAATGCATTACATTTTGCTAAAAATGTATAATTACATACAGGTGGTTATCAAAATAATGGAAACACCTGCGTATAAAAGTGACATTTAAGAATGTGCTTCATAAGCATTAAAATATAATCCCAGTTACCAGTTTTTTTTAATGTAAAAAGTACATATTATGGTAGTATGAGGTAGCTTTAGTGAAGTTATATACATTTTGGAGTTTTGTCAAAAGCATAAAATGTCAGACCTTACAGAGTTTCAAAGAGACCAAATTGTAGGAGCATAACTAGCTGGAGCAACTGTACCGAAACATCTCAGCCGTTAGGTGTATCTAGAGATTCATTGCCTAAAGTCATGACAGTACACAAATTGGTAACAAAGTGTTACTGAAACATCCCAGCTGTTAGGCATATCTAGAGATTCATTGTCTAAAGTCATGACAGTGTACAGAAATCAGTAACAAAGTGTTACCGAAATATCCTGGCTGTTAGACGTATCTACAGTCATGACAGTGCACACACAGCATGGCTAGGCAAGTTTGGCAAAGAAAGATAGTAGATGGAAGGACAAGCTGACAGAAAGAGACCAACGGGTATTGAAACAAATTGTAAAGTCTAAAAAGAAAACAACTGCAACCAAAGTGACCACAGAGCTCAGTCAGTATCTGAATTCTCCAGTGTCAATATTTATAGTTAGAAACCTTCATAAACAGAACATTTATGGTACAGCAGCTATTCCCAAACCACTAGTCACACATGTTACGACCAAACATCATCTGCAGTGGTGCCATAACCAGAAAATCTTGTCGACTGATAAGTAGAAGACAGTTATATGGTCAAACGAATCATCTTTCACACTTTTCCCTAAAACAGGATGTATGCACATCTGGAGAACACCAGCAGAAGTGCATGATCGTGATTGTCTGCTTCCAGCCGCTAGGCATGGAGGTGGATTCGTTATGGTATGGGCAGCTCAGTTATTTTCTACTGGCCCAATCGTAACTCCGCAAGGAAGGATCAATGGGAGAAGTATAGAGACGTTTTAGCTGACCAGGTCCATCCTATGATGCAAACTTTGTTTCCTGCAGGAAATGGAACTTTCCAGGATGATAATGCTCCTAGTTAGGCAGTGGGACTTGTCCAATCATGATTTGCTGAACACGAGTATGAAGTGAAACATCTACCTTGACCGCAAAGTCCCCCAAACTCAATATATTGGAAACATTATGGTCTGTTTTAGAACATTCAGTCTGGAATCAATATCATCCACCAATATCTCTCCCAGAACTTTCACAATATCTACATTAAGAATGGTATAATATTCCTCTACGCCCTATTCAGCACATGCATGATTCGATTCCCAGGCGAGTTCAAGCTATATTATATGCCAAATGTGGTCCTACACCATATTAACAACGGATTCCTTATAAATCTATGGTGTATCCATTATTTTGACAACCACATGTATATAGTTTATTAACAAATTTTAGATCTAAATTTTTTAACATAATCCAACAATCTTGCCAAACAATAATTGACACATTTATTATTATGATAGCTCAACTTGTTTTCCCTAAAATGTTGCCTGTTTATGAGCAGAATTTTCTATCCAATTAATTCTTTGTTTTGATTTATTGACTATCAGCTGTCATGGATTCAAGCGCTGAGCAAAGACTAGCAACACTGTTTCTCTGTAAAATCGCAAAAACAGCAAAGTTTTTCAAACCATTTGTGACAGGAAATAAAACTTGAAGCTTTGCTCATGATCCTGAGACACAACAGTAATAATTTGCTTGAGCTAGAGATGGGTTCTAATGACCACAAAATTCTTGGTTTAAAAAATCTCGAGTAAAGACCATGTGAAGGATCTTTTTTGACTGAAAATGGCTACTTCACAAGAAATTTGCTCCTAGTGAACAAATTCCTTGTAATGATAAACAAGTAAGATGGTAAGCTCCATATTTTATAAGAATATAACAAACTGGCTACAGAAGAGCATTTGTGTTTAGGCCTGAAAAATCTTCTATTGAATTAACTGTTTTCTGCAGCTTGATTATGCTTGATTACACAATCTCATTTTTATCAAATAGTTTCAGGCAAAGAAATATGTCATATTCTTTCAGCACTTGCAGACTACTTACTTTCCTTAGCTCCTCCTTTTCCACTTCAAAGATCAGTATTTTAATAGCATAGAACAGATTTAGAAAACTGTAATGAGACACTTAAAGAGCATTCCAAAAGATTAGTTCTATAATGGAATCAAGCAACTGTATGAGCATGCAAAGGTCAGTATAGACTTTCAAGGATTGTATATCGAAGGCTATAAAGTAAGAATATTATTTGCAGCTTTCAATTTTGTATGAACTCAGCCTTAAAACACTGTAGATGCACTGCACATAACTATTTTTAAATGTTCTTTTAAATCAAATACTGCTCTCCATCAGGAACACAGATACTTCAAATGCTGTCACTGCATTATTATTCTGCAAGTTACACAAAACAATTAATTTAATATATTAAAGCCAAATGACACTGCTTTTCCATATAAAAATAAGCAAAATTACCTGTTTCTGATGTAAAACCCATTACAACACAATATAGCCAGAAATCCCGAAATAATTTCAGTAACCTAGGTTTAGGATTAGATATTGGAGGCATTCTTCTAAGGAGCTATAAAATAAATTATAACATATAAAATTAAAACCACATATTGAAAATTTAAAAAAAAATTATGATTAAAAACATTAAAAATTGTAAAATGGATAACATATTCATGATATAGTATCATAAAAAAATTTGGAAACATGCGCTAAATAAATTAAAAATAGAGAACTTTTATAAATTGATACAGAAAATAGCAACTTATCAAACCTCTAGAAAATCCTGTACTATTAAAAGGAGAGAGTAAAATAAAAATTTATATCAAGAACATTCTTTCAGTGATTTCTACTACTGCTTAAGATAGTAGATAGAAGAAACAACATTAACAAAGTACTACTCTGATGATATCATTAAGTATTTTAGTTGCGGATCAGATTTTTAAAACAAATTTTTTTCACATAATTAAACCTAAATTAATAACTGAAAGATATACATATAATACTCAACTGCTGCTGATGCCATTTAGAATACAAATCATTAATATGGCTAAAATTAACAAAAACATCCATTGCCATCCATAATAAATTCTAATGCTTCAATGCTTTTAAATACAGCAATCTGGACATCTTGCAATGTGTAATGAATATGGCAATTTATAATAATGTAAATATTAAAAAAAGTTTACAATATTAGTAATGGATTGATAGTTTAACGTTTACCAAAAAATTCTGTCTGTTTGGGAACAGAAAGAAAATGACACCTTTTCACATACTTAGTAGTATTTATTGTATAATATAATTTCTATCATTACTTATGGCTTCTTGCCAGCATGATGGTAATTTGTAGATACCATTTTTGAAAAATGTCTTACCCTTAGAGGCAAAGAACTGACATCTGCTTCAGTTTTAAATTTTTTCCCTTAAAAAAATATAACAAGGAGAAAAGCAATAATTAGAAGGTGTTAGGTCTGGGGAGGATGATGGACATGGCAGAGTTTTTTAGTTTAGCTCAGTTATTTTCTGATGAATCACTAAAGCAGCATGTAGTTTGGAACTATTATGATGCAGTCATGATTTGCTTCCTATTGAACATTGCTGGACTCTTTACTTTGACTTCTTTGTTTAAATCATCCATTTGCAAACAGTATGCCTCGAAATTGAAATTTTCTTTGGGTTTCAAAAGCTTGTAATGTATTGGTCCTTGGACATACCAACATACATACAGCATTATCTTATTCAGGCTAAAACTTGGTGTAGACATAGGAGGAGCTGGCTGTCCAGGCTCACAGTATGTTCATTTCCTAATAATGTACTTGTAGGTAATCCACTTTTCATCCCCAGTTTTCATCTGGTTCAAAACAAGGTCATTTCCAAGCAGGTGGAGATATGCACATGATGACTTCATCATGCAAATTTTTCTCTCATGAGGCACCCATCTGAAATAGTTATAGACCAATCCTAGTTTATGAATATGGTCTGAAATTATTTGTTAATGAGCTGAATTAAGCTTTTCCATAATCTCCAATGTTGTCAAAAAAGGCTGCTGCTCTATCATAGTCTTGACAATATCAATATTGATTAAAGATGGTAGCCCACAGCTTGGTTTATCATTAAGGTTGAAACAATCTGGCTCAAATTTTTTGAATATTTCCTGGATGTTCTATCTGAAACACTATCTCCACCAGAAATTGTCACTGAATTTCGACATGCTTCCATAGTTCCACCAAAGAAGAATCCTTGTTGAAATTCATATAAAATACAGTGGTGTAAATTTATCTGTAGCCGTGTTTACACAATCATATCCGACTTAATACTAACATGAAACATTTTTCTTTCACTTAGAACAGCAAATGTTTATAAATACAGTAATAAAAGGAGACAGCCATATTTGTCTCAAAATGTTAGTTATCTAAGAAATCAGAAACTCTCAAACAAAATATCAACAATCCCATATTAATTTTCATCTTCCCAATTAATTACACATATTAAACATATACTTTCTACCTATTTTAAAAAGGAAATTAAACACTTTGCAACAGAAAATTACTGATTACCTGAACATAAATAAATAAAACAATTTTAAAAGATTATGAAAATGTTGAAATTAGTAAGTCTTAACTTTTGTTTGATGTCAGTTTTAGAGAAATGCTCCACGCATTTTGAGTGACCAGTGAAAGATTTACTAAAAACAAAAATCAGCATTTTTCTAAAATTAATGCCATCTAAATTTAGATTGTTTTCTAAGGTTCAAGCTGAAATGCTTCTCGATTACAACTGGAAAAAAAAATCTCTGAATCCAGTGTTTTTTTACTAAGAATGCAATAAGAGATGACTTCAAATTCTTCAGAATTTAGAAATTATACGTTGTAATTATCTACTATTTTTCTCCCACTTTTCACTTTTAAATGTTACAGTTACAATCTAAATCCAAAACATGGCTAATAATGTAGAATTTGAACTTATTTGCAGAATACAAGAACTCCGTTTTATTCACTTCAAACAGATGGTTAGTTCAAATAGATGGTTTGGATGATGACCACTTGATTTATTATGTCAATGGCATTTATGAAGATATGTTATTTTCAAAGCCTCTGCCACCTCATACATTTGGATAACACATTTTAAAGCTCCAAATGAGTAATGCAAGAGGGAAAAAAGAATAGATTTTTGTTTAGATGGGGCTCCTATGCTCACTGGTATGGTAGTTAAAGTTGTGGCACCATATGTTCCCTGGACAACACATGGACCTGTTTTATTCATAGGGACACTTTAGTGGCCAAATGTAGGCCATCTAAAGTTAAAACTAATATTATAAAACAGCAAACACATTTACAGTCATTGAAAAACCACAACAAGGAAGCTGAAACAATCAGCAACACAACCTTTAGGCTATCAGGTTATAACAGTGAACACAGTTTCACGACAAAGCACTAAAGTACAGCTACTTTGGTCGCTCTCGAAGATCAAGACACTCGATACTTTCCACGATATAACTCAAGATACACTCAATGATGCACTTGAGATAGACTGCTACTCCATGCACAGGCAGGGTTTATATAGCTTCTGACCTGTCTTTGAGAACATTCTGGGAGAGGTAAACCAATAAGAATTTGTTCTATAATGTCTCTCTCAGTCTATGGCATAGTGCCAATTTTGTCACCAAATAAGTGATTTTGTGCCAAACCTGGCAACTCTGCCTCCCCTTGCCATTTTCTGGCAACCCTAAACCCCTTTGCAGAAGTAATAAATTATGAAAACTAACTACCATGTTACCTACAGATATCATGTTATAAAAATAATATTTAGGTCAAAAATACCAAAACAAACAAACAAACAAAAAAAATCACTTTATACAAACAATACTACAGCTCAGGACTGGCAAAAACAAAACATAGCAGCATATCAGTTAAAAATGAAGCAACTTCCAGAAATGAAATTAAAATCAAACAGCAGAAGATGATTAAATACTTTCTACAGAAATACTTAGCAAAGCTATATCATCAAAATAGTATACATACCACAGATATAACAGGAATCAGCACTCCTAAATTACCAGCACTACTTGATGCCTAAAATTAATGAAAATCATTCATATTCCTGTTTTACTCAAATATAATTTAAATCATGTTTTCAGAAATATATCAGGAGACTGACTATATACCTTGAATGTAGCAGGAGCTCTTTCACTAGCTCTTTTTCCTTCTAAGCCAAGCTGTACAAACAGCTCTAGAAGACGGACAAGAAGTTCATTTTGCTCAACCTCCCCTTCTAAATCATTTGCAATATTTGCTAATGCATTGATCACAGATAAAGATACCTTCCTTTACAGATAAAAAGAAAAAATAACAGATATATAAAATATAACAATTTTTTTAAAAATATTTTTGATTCTGAATAAACATCATATTGCTATTCTGATAAAATGATTATACGAGAATAAATAGTAATTTTTCAGGAATAGCAAAATATATGCCTAAATCATACATACAAACTACAGCAGAAAAATGCTACAGAAAAGTAAAAGCGAGTGATCAATTCAACAAAGCGAAAGTAATTAGCAAAGTGTGAAAGTAAGACTGTTAATTTGCACTGTTGATACTGCCTATAACATTAATATTAATTACTAAGCTTTTTTTTAATACCTGGTTTTCCCTATGTATAATGTGTATACGAGACAGTTTCCCTTACAAAGACCTCCATAAAGGCACTCTTACCTTTAAGCAGATAGCTCACCACAGCTCTTGCCATAACTAAGATAAAAACCAAGCCTAATTTATATGGATTTCAGATGTTTTTACTATACTTGCAAACAGATGTTTTTAAATTATACCTCTGATTTTATACTTCTGTCATTTTTCTGAAGTGGTTTTAGGTACTTTCTAATTTCCCAGAGCCAGATTTAGACTTCATAAAGCCCTAAGCTATTTGAGGTATGGGGCACTTCATACGTCCACATATCATATGTCAGTGCCCAATATGATTTTGGATAACTAGAGAGTTTTTTGGGGGGTCCTCAAGAAAGCAGGGGCCCTAAGCTATAGCTTGTGTAGCTTATACGTAAATTCTGTGCTGTACACACCCATGGTTTCAACACGCAATAGAAATGTCATGCTTCTAGTGTATTTTCAAGTATTCATTCAACAATAGGCAACCTATGCATGCATATACCACACCTGTTTGAGTACACATGGATTTGTAGACTCTATATTTAACCATTGTTTTGCTGAACAGTATCCACCAGCTATAAGGATGTAAACATCAAAGGTTTGCTTTTCTCACAAAATGTCTTACTTCTTTTAAAATAGTTCTCTTTACTATTTTGTGAGGAGAACAGTACCTAGGAGTCCTAAAACAAGCATCTACTGCCAAATCATAGAATCCCCAGTTAGCAGTTTTCCATAGGGATGTGAATAATCAGAATGTACTCGTGTCTTATTACAATGCATTAAAATGTAAAAAATAAACAAACAAGATGGATTTCAAATTTAACAACAGAAATAAAACATACCACACAATAATTTTCATCTTTTACTAATCAAGTGCTTCATTAGAAATGCTCTTTCACTCAGGAGCTCTTTCACTAGCTTTCATTCAGGATTTCATTCTTTATTATTTACATAATTTGATAAAATTTTATATATTGTGAAAATTATTTGGTGAAAGAAAAATTAAAATACTTATAAAAATGGATAATTATTTATCCGCATAATTTGAAAATTTCAGCAACTACTAAATACTGTTACAAAATGTACAGGCGCAGTAAGATAGCTTCTCCACAAAGCAGTTTTAGGGATTCCATAAAATGGCAAGGGAAGGCCACATTTGGCGAGAAAATTGACAATATGCCATGGACGGATGGAGAACCTTCTGGAACGAATTTTTACCGGTTTAGCCCAGAATGTTCTCGAACACAAGCCGAAAGCTATATAAACCTTGCTGGTCCGCAGACTAGTGTGTGCCTCGTCGAGATGGCGAGTCAGAGTGCCTCATCTAGCGAGCTGACAGTTAGTCATTGAGCGAGTGCCCAGTGGGTCATCGAATGCATCGAAGAGTTTCTTCGTGTATCGCGGTTAGTGCATCGTCGAGACAGTGTGTTAAGCTCTGGGAATGACTGAATTGAAGAGTCAGGAGCTGTGCTCTGTGTGTCGTCGAGTGCATCGCGAGTTGTAGCGTGGAGAGTCTCGAGAGAACGTGGAGTTCTGAGAACAACCAAGCAGAGTCGGGAGCTGTACTCAGGTGCTTTGCAGTGAAGCAGTCTCCTCCATGATAGCTTGATAGCCTGAAAGCTGTGTCGCTGATCGTGTCAGCGTTTTTATAACAGTTCGACGACTTTAAATGAGATTTTGGAGTTGTCCTTATTAATACCTGCCAAAAAAGTGTGTTTTGATACTTCATCAAGTGTCGTCGTTATTCACTCCAAATCAACACTAACCCCGTACGAACGTGAAGGAAGAAAATAACGTAACAACAGATGTCGTAAAAGAAAAACGCAACAATATTTATTGAAAATAATAGAATTCCTTTAAAAAAATTAGTATATGAACCAAGCCTTATTACTCAGCACAACCCTAATAAAATAACAACAAAATCTTAATAAAATTGAAACAAAATTAATTCATTGGTCATTAAGATAAAAAGAAACCATCAAATGAACCCTTTTTAACTCACGCAATTTATTTTTATTTTATTTAATAAAGCAACTGTATCAAGAGGTAGCATTAATTAATGATCTTCAGTATTTATTATTATTTACTAGTCTAAACATTTAAAATAACCCAGATAAGGCTCTTATAAACAGAATAATATTAATAACTAATCACTTAGAAAATAATCAATAATTATGAATTAATTAATTAGAAAGAACTGATTAATTTGCAAAACTGATTCTATCAAACTCCAGGGGCACTTACAGCAGCAACTATGACTGTTAGTTTAATGAATTTCATAAATAAATAAAATCTTAATGCTTAAAATATTTGCTTTAAAATATTTCAGAAATATACCTATAGCCTTGTTTTCTTTCATCAGCACTGCCTACATTATAAGCAGAACTAGATTCCACAGTGATCATAGTGAACATTTTCATGACTTCTTCATGAACAGAAAGCTGATTTAAAAGAAGGGAAAAAAATCAAGGTTAGAGCCACAAAATATAAAAAGAGTATATATATAAGCAAGAAAAAAAAATTAATTAAAGTAGTAGCTTCAAATGTATGATTTCATTCAATTTTATTAATATTCACATGCAAAATTCCACTTAATGATTTTAAAATTCTTTATAAATAACCTCCAACAATACTACATAATCAGCATTGTTTTAGCCATTCAGTTTTGAAACCTGGTTAACCAAACAAGAAAATTTTCCTCAGGACAAAATGTACTGCCTTCCAAGAGTTAAAGAACAGCATTTTTTTTTTTTTTTTTTTTTTTTTTTTTTTTTTTTTGTCTAATTTGAGAGTGAAGCAGCACAGACACAAGAAATTTAGAGGACATATTCACTAAACAGTCCTTTAATGAGTGTAACATAGAATGTTTCTAAAGTTTAACATAAGTATGATAACAACAAAAAATTACACTCTTGGCATAGAAACCCAGTCTTGGGGAAACAATTCATCACAGCTTTTTGTGGGAAAATGTGATGGTAACATTACAAAAATGGGTTGTACAGTACAAAGTCTATAATCTGGACGTCCATTATCCGGAATGATCTATAATCCGGACCTCAAAGCCACAAACGTTTTTTTGTATGCTTTACGCATGCGCGTTTAGCACAAAAAGTGTAGCAACATAAACAACTTAAAGTAAACAAATAAATATTAAGCTTTTTTTTTCCGTCAATTTTGATACCCTTTGGATCATAATTGCTCTTTATTTCATAAATTACAGTTTCATATTTTTAATTGTATAATTTCTGCATGCCATCTTACAAGATTTAAATTGATGATCTATAATCCGGGAAAAACCCTTAATCCGGAATCGCTAAGTCCCGATTACGGACTTGGTACTGTAATAAGGAATGTGTCCACCATTAGCTGCAATACATTGGTGGCAGAACTCTAAATAACAATATTTGCATTTCTTCACAGTCATACCACTGATTGAAGACATACTTTTCTATCTCCACTGTTACATTTACTACTGTTCAAAAAATGGTCCATCATCAAAGATACAGGAGCAAAATGTCACAAAACTCTTTATCAAAGACAACTGTAGTGGGCCAGTTATTGCATGAGAAATCATTATTTTTTATTTCAAGTATTTTATATTTTTTCTTATGTTTAATTATTTCATTATTACTTTGATTTTGGTTTCCAAACATTGTTATTGTAGTGTTGCATTTTGATCGCTAAAAATAAAAGCAATTAAGTTATCTATCTGTTTGTAATTTATGCTGTTCCTAGTCATAATTTAGTTTCAACATTAGTAGACAAGGCCACACAACAAACAAGAATTAACATTGAATCGAGTTGGCAATGTTTGTTTATATGGCTATATACTTTCCCCAAGAGCTTCCAGTCCCTACAGCCCATGTGAAAAGGATATTCTGCACCAGTGACCTTAGTTTTATACAGGCCAAGCTAAAAACAAACAAACAAACAAACAAAACAAACAAAAAAAAAAAAAAAAAACACGAAAAATATAAATATTTTTAACTTCTCAGTTTGCTTTTGTTTAGTTAGGCCAGATGTTTTGGCTCAATCAATTATGAAGCTTTTACAATATTTAACAGCACTCTCCGGCGGATGTTTATTATTTGTGCTTTAAAATTGACAGTTACTTTAAAAAATAATAAAAAATAAATGAACTCACATCTCCTTTGGCTATAACCATGCACCCTAACTGATCAACGATAAGAGAATCTAATCTAGAAGGTGGTTGACAAAATCTTTGTTGAAAAAACTGTAATATGGACTCCATTGTCCGAGGAGTATTTTTTAGAGCTACTGCCACATGTCCTAAGGCAACAATTGTATTGGTCGAAACCAGTGTTGATTCCCTGAAAAAAAAGGGAGGGGATAAATTTTAGATGATCTAAGATTTTAGATGATCTAAGATATTTTCTAGCTTGATTACAATACAATTGCCTGATATTTGATAATAATACAACTGTCTGATACATAAATCAAAGAACTGAAAAGATGTATTATTTATAATTCCTTACTCTAAATTCAAAATTAATTATTGCATAATATCAATATCATCCATTTTATACAGGTATAACAGAAATCATTTACTTGAGACACACAAAAATACAAATATTAAATATTCAATACTACTTCAGTGTACTAACTAGTAATACTGAATTGCATATACAGTGGCTCCCAACAGTGTTCCTACACTTATGATTTTCATTGAAATAGGGCTCTATCCATTAATTACTATTTATTATTGAAAAATGGGTTGCAGTCGTAAAGAAATTACAAACAGCATTCGAAAACTAACAATTTTTCACCATAGCAGTGGTAAATCAATTCGAAATATCGCTAAATTAGTTAAATTTATCCTATTCTACCTTGCAGTATGTGAATAGAAATGCTTTAAAGAAAGAAAATCGGATCCACAAGTAAAGTAAGAAAAGGTCGACCGGCAAAGAAGACATGATGTGGCTCAACGTGATCTAGAGATTTATTAGTTAGAAAATCTGTGAAAACCCACGTTTGAGTGCTTTTAAAAGATTTCTACAGAATTTACTGCAAAAGTCTTTTTCGACATCAATTTCACATTAAAACTGTTCGACAAACTACTCAGATCAAGCTGGATTACATGGGCGTTCTTCCCGTAAGAAAAATTTTTTGTTAAGTGAGAAAAACGTAGATAAGCTTAAACTATTCATTCGCAAAATCAACAATGGCAAATATAGCCAGAAGCGTATTGGAATAATGTCCTATTTGCTGTCAAAAGCAAATTTAACATTTTTGGTTTCGATGGTCGAATAACTGTATGGAGAAGAAAAAATGAGGAATTTCATTCTAAGCACTTAGTTGGAAAAGTTAAGCATGGCGGTGGAGGTGTTTTGTGTGGAGGTGCATGGCAGCATCAGGACGAATAGGTAATTTGGTATTTATTGATGGAATAATGAATCATTCTCTTTATTTAAATATTTTAAGAGATGATTTAAAATTATCAGCCCAAAATTTGGGTATTGGAAACAACTTTATTTTTAATCATGATAAGGGTCCTAAGTATACGGCTCTCAACGTTCGCCTGTAGTCTCTACAATTGTCCACAGGTTTTGAAAACACCACCTCAGTCGCCATATTTAAACCCCATAGAACACATTTGGAAAAAACTGGAGGTTAGAGTACGAAAACACGACATCAAAACAAAAAGCGAACTCAAAACAGTAATGATTGAAGAATGGATGAACACTGATACAGAAATTACAAAAAACTAGTAAAATCTATTCCCAGACATTTAAAAGCCGTTGTGGATGCTAAAAGATATCCTACTAAATATTAATTTAACGAAAAATTAAAATATTTACGAATATGTTATGAATAGGTTATAGATCTTATTATTAAAATTTCATTTAGAAAGTTTACTTTTAATTAATGGATAGAGCCCTATTTCAATGAAAATTATAAGTGTACGAACACTTTCAGGAGCCACTGTATAGTTGCATATGCAAATATTAAATATTCAATACTACTTTAGTGTATTAACTAATAGTAATGCTATAAGTGGATGTTTTTCAATGTAGCTCTAAAATGATATTCAAGGTTTTAGATAGGAAAATCAGATAATACAGAAGTAAAACTAACTCATAAATAAGCACATTATATTAACTCATGAATATTTATATTATATCTGCTTTTAAAAAATTTAGACAACCCTTTGAATTATGAAAAAAAAAATTATAACAAATTTTATTGGCTTAAAAACAGATTTCAATATTCAAGGTCTATTAATAAATATTATTATCGTTTTCTGATATTTTAGAACATAACATTTTCAAATGTATTCCAAGGTCCAAAGTCACCAGGAAAAAGCAACTAGTCTACAAAAAATTTTAGAGTAATTATGCTATGAAAATACTGAACTTCATGCAGATACGGTTAGAAAATACCAAAAGATGACATGTACTCCAATCAATTAAAATGATAAATTCAATTCTTGTACTGCATTATTTCACCTTAACAAAATTTTTAATTCAAAATAAAAGTTTAAATTATAGCAAAAGATGGATCATAATATAATTAAATTAAATGCAAATGATGCTAAATGAATTTGTACTTGATAGCTTGAAATGATAGCTTCTGCTAAAGTTGCTGAACTTAAATTTGATATAAAAAGAATAGAAAATAAAAATTTTAACCATTATGCATTTGCTGAACTGTGTTCTGATACAGAATTATTAGCATTGTGGCAGTCTGATGTTCGACTGCGTGCACAGCCAATCCACGTTATGTCGTTTATGTAAAAACTCCTAGCACAGCAATGAAAGCACCCACTTCGCCTTTAGCTCTAGCGTAGGATGTACGAATCCTTGTGTAGTCATTTTCTGTTATGTTAAAATTATGGTGTGTGTGAATAAAGTTATGTTTAACGAAATGGAGTCATGCCTTTGAAGGATATACACCGAGCCATAACCCTCACGTACCATAAATTAGCGACTCGGCTACTCGCATGAAGCTCATACTGGTTGTTTCATTAAGGAGCTTGGTTCTAGGACATTTGTGTTCTTCCCTGCAGCCCCTGCCATGCAGGAGACAGCTGCCATCAAGATACCAATTTACAATCCTATTGACCCGGCATTGTGGTTTGCTATGTGTGAATCAACTTTTGCTTTAGCCACACCCAAGCCTGTTACGGAGCCGAAGACGAAATTCAACTACTGCAACGCTCATTTGTCCCCGGAAATTGCTTCGCTGGTTCGAAATATCATACAATGCACAAATTCTTCTTACGAAGACTTCAAAGCTGCCATTAAGGAATGCTGTGCCAAAAGCAGTATCAATGAAATCTGGAAATAACTTGCCGGCAAGCAACTTGGAGACTGGAAGCTATCAGAATTGCTTCGTGTCATGACAAGGCATGCTGAAAAACACAGTGTGTCTGACTTATTGTTGCTGGAGTTATTCATGCAGCAGATGCCGCCAAATGTCCGATCTATTCTAGCTTTGGTTGAACCGCTTGATTCGTCGAAAGCTGCCAGCATTGAGGATAGAATATTGGAAGTTACACCCACTCAGGTAAGTGAAGTTTATTCACCTGTATCTGTCAATGTATCTAATAATTCTAAATTGGATGCCTTACTGGATGAGTTCTGCAAATTGCATGGCGAGGTTTTGTCTCTAAGAAGATCACACAGTGTTTCCAAAATTTGTTATAACAGGAAGCAAATCATTTCAGCTAAAGCTGGTTCGAATTGTTCCAATTGCTCGTATCACCGCAAATTTAGTGATAAAGCTAAGAAGTGTGTTCCACCATGTACGTTTCAGGAAAACGAACCCGGGAAAATGTAATGGCGACTTGCGCTTTACCCTCCGAGTCTCGTCACCTTTTTATTAGAAACAGAAAATCAAAGAATATTTTTGTGCAACACTGGCTCAGATGTTAGTCTCCTTTCAGCAACCAAAGAGGAAGCGCATCAAACACCTATCATGACGTTTTCTGCAGCCAACGGTACTCGTACTCCTGTTCCGGCTTACAGACAAAAATCTCCAAGTATTGACCTTGGACTTCGTCACAATTTTAATTTTACTTTTTATGTGTGTAAAGTGTCAACAAATATTATTGGATCTGAGTTTTTGCATTACTTTGATTTATTACCTAATCTAAGGAACAAAAAGCTTGTTGATTTAAAAACGCATTTAAAAATTAATGGCAGTGTAATTAACACACATTTGTATTATATTAAAACAATTATTATAAACTGTGTTTATGATAAATTACTGTCTAACTATCCTTCACTGTTGAAGCTTCCTGATCTTAATGAGACTGTTAAGTATAATACTATGCATTTCATTGAAACTATTGGTCCTCCTGTTTCATGTAAGCCCAGGAGACTAGCTCCAGGTAGATTAAAAATTGCTAAGCATGAAATTTAAAAAATGATCAATTTACGTCACATGCGACCCTCCAAAAATAATTACTCCTCCTCTCTTCATATGTTGTTGAAGAAAGGCACAAACGAATGGAGACCTGTGGGAGATTTTCAGAGGTTAAATGCTCAGACAATGAAGGATAAGTATCCTATTCCCAACATTTGTGATTTTGCACCAGAGTTGCATGGAGCAAAGGTATTTTCTTGATTAGACTTGGTTAAAGTATATCATCAAATACCAATTAATCCCTCTGATATCCATAAAATGGTTATTGCCACTCCTTTCAGACTTTTTGAGACCACAAAAATGCAGTTTGGGCTATGCAACGCAGCTGCAACCTTTCAATGCTTTATTGATGAAGTAACTCGCGAGCTGCCGGAAGTATTTGCTTTTGTCGATGATATATTGATTGCATCAAAAGACAACACTGAGCATTTGATACACTAGAAAGCTCTTTTTGAAAGATTAAGTAATTATGGATTAATAATTAATGTATCTAAATGTAATTTTGGTTTAACTTCTTTGAGGTTTTTGGGTTTTCATGTATCAGAACAGAGTTTCGTTTACCCAACAGGGTAGAAGCCATTCAAAAATTTCCTAAACCAAGCATTTTAACTCAGTTAAGGAAATTGTAGAGACATTAGGATTATTTTTTTGGAAGCAAGAGAGATGAAAAATTAGCAACTGCCTTCGCCGGGAATCAAACCATAGACCTCTGAAATACATATCAACTCAGTGTGCTGACCACTACATTACGAAGGCACGCTAGGAAGATGAGAGAAAATACCTTATATACTCCCCCTTTTAAAGGGTGACTGGGGTTTTTAGGGGACCCAGTTGCCAAATCCTGGGTACGGAGAATCATCATCCAACACCCTTTTAGTTAGGCACCAACGTGTCACTGGGGCAGTCTGATGTTCGATTGCGTGCATAGCCAATCCATGTCATGTGGTTTATGTAAAAACTGCTAGTGCGGCAATGAACTCGTCCACTTCACCTTTAGCTCAAGCGTAGGATGTACAAATCCTCATGTAGTCATTTTCTGTTATGCTATTCTGTTGTGTTAAAATTATGGTGTGCATGAATAAAGTTATGTTTAACAAAATGGAGTCATGTCTTTGAAGGATATACACCGAGCCATAACCCTAACGATCCATATCATTATCTTATCATTCAATTTTTCACAGATGGACAGTTCATATTGTTCATAATATTGAACACATATTTAAATTTGCATTAACTAATGCCATGGCTGATTCCAGTATCTACTAATAAGCACCAAGTATGTTTACTGATGCTAGCAGCCAATTGAAATTTCACTTTAATTACATTTTATTTTTATATTATCATTAAATTAATTTTTTTTATAATTTATTTTAAGGATTTGCTCTTTTATCTTTAATGCAAGATAAATAGCTGAAGAGTAACATCTTAAATGAAGTGCAACACAGTACAAATAAATGTGCAAAAATGTGTATAGTACTAGACAGGCCATGTCACTGTGGCATTTAATACAGAATGATTGCCAGTCTGAAACTGAAGGTGCAAGTTTAATGGCTATTATAATGATTGATTTTCTTAAAGTATAAAGACTTAAGGTGCAAAATCAGTTTCACCCTATGGTGCCCTTCTTATAACATTCTCAGCAATGAAACATTTCTAATGGCACTTGAATAAATGCATAATCAGCAAGTGCCTAACAACTGGGTATTAAAAAAGTATCAACAATAAAAGTAATAAGTGATGTGCAGCTTCCTACAGATAAATACAAAGCTAAAATTAATATAAAAATGGCAGATATCTATAATATACAGAAGAAACATTTGCGGCTATATTTTTGATGGAATATATAATTTTTCACATCAAAAACTTTGACACATCATTTCTTCTCTCTTTTACAGACTCAATACAAATTTACACATTTTTATCGTTTTATTTATATGTGCCATGGATATGCTCTAAATGTTTTACAAACCTACCTATGCTATGAACATGTACATAGTTCTAAAATTCTTATAACGAAACAATGTATTTAATTCTGGAAGTCTTAAAATGAAAAATAAAACTTGTAGCTTACATATCACTCTTCTCAGCTTGATATAATCTGTTGGATACAGATGCAAGGAATGCTTGTACACAATGAGTGTCATTTTGTAAGCCAGCTTTGAGAGCTCTAAGAAAGAAAAAGCATATCATGTAATATCAGATAATTAAAAGCAAAAAAGGAAGGAGCTATAATTCTTACAAATAATCACAAAGAAATACCTGAAATATTTCGCAGAAAACTTTCAGCACAATAAATATATAATTTCAATGAATAACATAATTTCAAGAGTAAAAAAAGTTTGAAATTTTCTACTTAATTGCAAAAACTTTTTTGAAGGTACCTGCACAAGTTTTCAATAGCTGTGTCTCTTAAAATTTCAAATGCAGTTCCAGAACTAGTTGTAGTAGCTGAATAGACAGTTGACGGACTTTCCGAAGTAACCATGATACTTAGATTTCCACTACGAATATGATGATCCATAGACTGACGATTTAATCGTAACAAAATAGGAGATGGATTGACAAGAAAATCTCTAAGAGCATCTATACAACTATGGGCAATACTTGGAAATTTTTCAGCCAACTGTCCTAAACCCTAAAAAAGCAGATATCTTTATTATATGATAAGAGTTGAACTAAATTCAATCAAGCATGAAGAACGATAAAGCGATAGTAACCACATAAAAACATAGACTATAAACATTAGTATTAGTATAAAATAAGCCAAGCAAATGTATGAATAGATTCTATGAGCTTTTGTGCAGCTTTATTAGATATTCATAGGCACAACAATGAATAGGATCATTCAAAATATTTTCCTAGTGTACTAAAATAAAATGACAGCTTATAATCTCAAGAACTTAATAAAATGAGGTCACACAGATTTTGTAACCACCATTACAATGTATAATTATCATATTCTTACTACAGTAACCACAAAGACCCTTATAAAGCAAGAGGGTTCATTAAAAATTAAGACATTAGATTTAGCAATGTAAGATGGCATGCATCTTATTTAAAAAGAATCTTTTAACCCGTTTAACATTTGTCAACAGATGCATTAAATGCAGTTTACTGATTTCTTCAGTTTTATTACAGAAAAACACTGTAGCTGAATCTCATTTATTTAATGTCCTGTGTGCTTTCATTTTCATGTTATTCACTTATGCCATATGTATTTTAAATCAATAAATATGTAACATATATATATATATATATATATATAAGTTACAACAATAAATTACAAAATCTGATTATACTGTGATGGAAAATGCCATAATATTAAAATGTGCTCATGAGGAAATGCATTATATATGCATGCAAATGAGGAAAATGCATTATATATTTAACTATTTTATTACCTCTAAACAGACCATAAGCAAAGGCATATGAGCTAAAGCTATTTTTGCTGAATGAGATGAATGAATTTTTCCCTGAAGACGGCTACAAAGACTATCGGCACCTAAAATACAAAATATATATTTATATATATGTAAAATATAAGATATTAAAAATTAAGAATATGCAAAAATTATGAATTTCAACTTAAATAGCTGCTTGCATGACCAGGCGTCTAAAGTGATCATTGAAAGAAATATATAATGATTTTAAAGAGAACAAACAGTGTAGGTTCACTGGTCCAGCTAGTAATTAACGGTACTAGAAAAGAAGAGCTGCATTTACTGCTTTTAAATCATTTAGCTTGTTAAACAGGAACAGATGGATTAAATTTTAAACAAAATTGGCACTTTCTGATTATCTGCAACCAACCAAAAAATATTCATGAGGCAAAGCAGTATGTCACAACCCATGATGTCACCAATATATATTTAGGTGGCAACACAAGTATGCACATAGTATACGTCTATTTCGGTTGGTTCACAATGCTTACATTTTATGGATGCTAAGTTTGAACTATTCTCTGGCAGTTTTACAAGGGAGAACAGATGTGTACCTAAGGAGCACAACAACACACACAAAAAAGAATTTCTTCAGTAAGATATTTTATTACCAATGTTTCTTGCCTTTTATATTTAACTGTTGCTCTGACATGGAATTCTTAATTCACACATGCATTTGTTTCGAAAGAACAACTGTTTGGAACAATTTTTCTGCTTTGCCACAACAGCTAATTTCCACAGATCACTTTGTGGCTAACATGTAAAGGCTAAATTGTAACATGTAAAGGAGAAACTGGTTCTCAAACAAGCCAATAGCATTCGAAGTTGAGAGCTGATTGGTGGAAGCCGAACAACTTGCAATTTTTTCGAAAGGAAGGAAAACATCGCATATCTTTCTTTCAATGGTAAGCTAGGCAGAAAAATTGTTCAAAACAGTTGTTCATATGAAACAAATGCATGCGTGATATGGGCCTTAGGATACCACCTTTGAAAATGGCTGCTAGTTTTCATGCATTAGCTTGTCAAAAAATTAGTCGGAAACGAGTTTGCAAATACTCTACAAAGATGCCAACAATTTGGACTTTTCTGTGGAGGCCACATGTAATCAGAAAGTACTAAAAAAGTAAATACCATATGTATCTTTGCCAAATGCCAACACACTTACATATGGAAGATAAAAATATTTTATTTTGGGCAGTGGTAGCACATTTCTCTAAAATTGCAAGTCTGTTGATTCAATTTGAAAGACAAATATCTTACACTTTGGTGAGTGGCAATGCATTTCTCTTAAATAGCCAAGTTTTTTTATTAGATTTAAAACATAAATATCTTACACTTTGCTAACTAATAACAAAATACATTTAAATACCTGTGTTTTTTAATCAAAAAATCATTAAGTTTTCATAAAGTATAAAATAAAAACAAATTCAAAACTCAGGCTTGAAGATGCACATAATCAGTCTCGATCCAATTGTTTTTTCACAATGTGAATAATATATATTTATACTCGGCATGGCCAAACTGCAACTTTCCGACAGCTTAACTGCAGCTTGCAAGCTACTTGCCCAAGAGTTACAAATTTACATTTTCTTGGAACTTAACTTTTCTGAAAACAAAGACAGATACAAAAGACTTGTTTATTCATATTTATATGTAACCATGTTAATCACACATAAAATGCAAAATTCTCATTAATTTACTTCAAAAGTTTTTTTATATTAAAAACCTATCTTATTATTTTTGAAACAACATAAATCTGGACTTGTGGCTGTTTAAGGCATACAAAATTTGGCATCTGGCTCCTATTGTCTCCAAGTCTGGCCACCCCTGATATACACTGTTGAATAATAATGTACTATCAAGATAAAGACATTATATACTTGCATTATCACTATATTGTTATTGTTAAGTTCAAGATACAACTAATTTCTTTCCAGAATATGCAAAAGTATTCAAAATAAATTTTGTTTCTGAAATAGTACTCAATTATAATTTTTGATGATATTTACACTATTGAAATGGTCATGCTTTATGATGAAAGGAATGAAATCAACAGACTAAGCCATTTGTATTGAGAAGGGTGAAAGGTAAATTACACTAATATCTTTGAAAAGAAAGACACGAAATTCAAAATCGTGCAGGATTATTTATTTACATAAAAATAAACAGAAGCAACAACTTTTAGAATGTTGCTTAACACTGAAATTAATCTCCTCTTAATCATTCGAAGTGAAATTAATTGCAGAATTTCTTCAAATTGGTGTATCTCATGAAAATTTGAGCTATCTGCTCAATTAAAGTAATTAAACTATATAAAAAATTGCTAAAAACTGTAAAAGAAATAAAAGAGATACAAAATGCTAAATGCACAACAGTGTGCCATTTCAAAGTTCAAAGCATATTTCAGTTATCCCTTAATTTTCATTATTTTTTTCCTTTTCTGCTATTTTTTCTAGACTGTCAGCTTTAATTATTAAGATAAATGGATCAAAAAACCTAAATTAAGCACAAAGCCTTTTTACACATAAAATGTATTATCAGGTTCAATGTTCCGTTTAACCTTCTTCGGGAACATGCAAGGACCTGACTCGGAACAGAGAGCTTACTAAAGCTATGTTCAAAACTGTGGGAAGTAGACAGGATACACAAGAAGGGTATATAAAACCCTTTATTTTTCTCTATTTACAATAATTTCCATACTTCGGAATACACAGAGCCGCTACTTGGGGTCTAACATAAAAATATAAAAAAATAGAACTAAACTCTAATTTAACTTTAAAATAATAAACATGGAAGATTGGCCTTATATTAACAGGAAGCCGTATGTAGTACAGAGAACTGTGAACACTACAATACGTTTAAAATTATCAAGAGGATTAAACCTCTGGCCTGGAAGGCAACAGCAACTGAGTAAAACTTCTAAGGTAAGCGGCCTGCTTCGACTAACTGCTTCCTCTCCCTCGCTTGGCAAAAAGCCACAACTTAAATACTTGGCGTTCGCCAGACAGACTTTGCATAAAAACATTAACGCTTATAATTCTGGCCGGAAGTAGAAAATAAGAAGTGATAGTAAAGATTTAAAATAAAATAAACGTTAGTAAAACTTAAGATCCTTACAGTATAAGATATATAACTTAGAATCATTGCATGTCACGGTATTTAGCATTTAACCTGGATAAAAAAAAAAAAAAAAAAACTATACATACCAATATCATCAGCAACAGCCCACACCAAAAGATCAACACAAGCAGCATTAGTCTGAACATTCACTTTAAATTTATTTACAACAGTGAAATTTGATTCCTTGTCTTCACGTTCACTGGCGTCATGCTGTCTAGTTTGAAGTTCAGTTTGCCCAGAAAGAAACAAACCTTTGACAAATTCCTGAACATCTTTGGTAAATGGTGATGGTAAATCTACATTAAAAAAAATTACATTCTGTTTTCAAAAACAATTTATATATATTCTGCATGCAACATAAAAAAAATATGAAAGCAAACTTCTAATTTTAATTGGCCATAATCTCTTTTAGTTTTTATTTAATTCGGGGACTTCATCCCACTATCTTAAAAATAGCACTATAAGCCTAATCTGCATCATACAAATTAATCATGTGATCCTACATAACACTTAATGCAGATGCCTCTTGCCCAATCAAATAACTGTCAACCAAAACCAAAACTTTTTCTAACTCGAACTGAAACTTTTGACTCCTTCCCTTCTTCCTCTGAATCACTACGTCACTTTTTGCTTACACTTTCATCCTGTTAAGACGCTGCTGCAATCATCTATGTTCCCTTCTATCACGATAGTATCAAAATTGTTCTGGAAATAGGCATGATTGGAGTGTTAAGTGATTTGTAGCCACAAATGTGAATTTAAATAAAAAATGGAATTAAAACCGCCTCGACTGCCAAATTCTTAGTCTTTACGAATTCTACGTTTTAAGTATCTTTGCAATCAGCATTTCTACACGTCTACATCTCAGTGTTCTTATACGAGTGCTTCCAAAATTGTCCTATCATTACATAAATATGTATATATATATATATATATATATACAGTCAAAAGTCGTTAATTCGGACACCCATAAGCCGGAATGATCTATAATCCGGACCTCAAAGCTACAAACTTTCTGCGTCATAAAGTGCGTCAAAGCGACGCATGCGCATAGGCATTTACGTGTGCGGGTAAGACATTTACGACTGCGAATATGCGTGTGCGCATGCGCATAAAACGTTTACGCTTGCGTGTTTAATGTATAACAGACAGTATAAGCGCTAAGCTAAAATTATCTAATTCAGTTAAGGTTGCAGATTGTGTTGTTCCTTAATCTTCGAATTGGATCCGGCTTATTATTTTTTGCAGACTGTTAGAGCAATCTTATAAAAGTAAGCTTGAACTTTCGATTATATGAAATAGAATTTCCAATATATATTTGCTAATATGTAAAGGATCTAAAGCGAAAATATGTTTCGAAATCCGAAATCTGTTTATCAATTTCACGCTGCTCGGCGGGGGGAAACGCCGCGGCACGCAATGAATTGGAAGTTGATCTGTCAGCACTATCCTTATCTTCAGGGCAGATGTTTTTATTTTATTTGGCTTATAATTCCTTACTAAATGTAGTATTTCATCTCGATGTAATCCGTCTTTGATATGATTTAAAACAAGTTCCTCGTCATTATAATTCGCTTCCGATAGTGAAGAAAGTAGAGATTATTGAAAACGAAAAAATTTCAATTGACAAATTAGTCAGTATTCTTGACACAGCAATTATAGGGCTTGAACAGCGGAACTTTTTAACTAAACAAGAAATTATGTCTGTTTAATAGAATTAAAGAGAAAGTATTATCACATAAAAAATGAAGCAACCTAAACAACTTACATTGAAAGAAATGTTTAATAAAGTAAACAAATAAATATTAAGCATTTTCTTTTTGTAAATTTTGATACCCTTTAGATCATAATTGTTCTTTATTTCATAAATTACGGTTTCATATTTTTAATTTTGTAATTTCTGCATGCCATCCTACCAGATTTAAACTGATGATCTATAATCCAGATAAATCGATAATCCGGAATCGCCGAAGTCCCGACGAGTCCGGATTAACGACTTTTGACTGTATATATAAGTGTGTGTGTGTGTGTGTGACAGTAGTCAGGCTGATCTGAAATGTGTTCAAGATGAAATTCCCATTCATAGTGATTTAGTTTTGGTTTAGCTTAATTTTTTTTACCCATAAATATTAAGTTTTGGTTTGAAATTTTAATTGTCTCTGGCAAAACTCTCCTGTAAGTATATGCATCATGAGCATTATGCAAGATCATGTGACATGGATTAACTTGACGCAGTTTAGAGCAATTTATTATAAACAATCAGTGTTTTAGCATGGAAAGGGAAAATAACAAAATTAAAAAGAAAAGTTAAGAAACTATTGCAAATTAAAGTTAGTAATCTGATTTACATACTTTTTATCTTATATACACCCCTTCTCTTCAAAGAGAAAGAGACTTAGCAATAGAAAGGCCTTTTTAGAGAAAAAGCATGAGAGCAGTAAAAACATGAAGAAAAATATAACATGGAAAACATGAATTATGAAATAAATAATACTTTTCAAGTAATTACAGAATATGAAGAAGATTATTATATACATTAAAAAGTAAATAGGTAAATAAATAAATAAAAACAATTTTTAGAGTCCTGTTGACATTTGAACACAACATGGAAAAAATGTCTCAAATCAACTTGAAAAAGTACATTTCTAAATGTTAAAAAAAAAATTATATAAATTTTAAAATTTAACTTTTTTTACATTCACCCAGTCCTAGTCGTGATTTTTAGGAAAATTTTATACTCATTATTAAAAAGAAAAAAAAAATGGATTCCCATGCAACTAAAATAAACCGAGATATTCAATTTCAAAAATTGGGATTTTTTAAAATCACTTTCAACTACTTTTGCAGTGCTAGTAAGTAAATCGAATAACTGAAAATTGATTTTCCTCTTGCATGTCAATCAATAACATCATTTAGCGATTTACTACTGTGTAGCATTCATTATTATTTTCTTATAATTGATAAACTGACAGAATTATTACACAAGTAATTTATAAGTTTTCAAATGCTAAAAATATGTTTTTTAATATTCTTATGAAATTTTGTCATTTAATAATCATAATAATTCTACAAAAAAATTCATTAAACTAGAGATATTTTTCATTTTTAATTTATACAAATAAAGTTATGAATTAGCTAAGTGTCAATACTGAAATCTGTCTGTGTTCTAGAATGTGAATTCTCTAAGATTCTGTAAATAAGATCTCGTTTTCTAAATTTTTTATTGATCAATACTTTTCATGATAATCTGCTTTCTGCTTATTCAGTTAACATCAAGAACTTTTTCTAAACTGATATTTTTTATACAGACTCAAACATTTAGTTCTGTTACATTTAAAAAATTAACATCTCTTTCCATTTTTGGTGTACAAGTGTCATACTTTTTGTGTTTCATTTTTTACAACGAGCATAAAATGGCCCTATATGTAACTAAAAGGGCTGGGGCAAGTATATAAAAAGTTAGATTTCATAAATTAAAAAAAAAAAAAAAATTTAAAACCTAAAAATTCCAAAATATGAATATTTGTGTTATTTCAAGCATTTGGATATGATGTATATTTAATGTTACTCATTTGCATTAAATTGAATGCTATAATAGCATTTATATTTTATTAACATGAAAAGAATCAAAGTGATTATTAATAAGACCAGCATATCCATAATTTTTCCTAGAGTAATGATAACTATTTGATGATAGCGGCTCTATTAAAGACTAGAATTAGCTTTAGTGAGTGTTTGCTAATTTCATATGCTGCCAGAAACATATATATTATTCGTCAAGGATTGAAATGAAATAACCAAATTTTATAATAGAAGCAATTTAATATAAAACTACAACAAATTTCAAAGCAGCAAAACTATTTTTAAAATTTTATGTATAGTTAATTTTTTATATTTCAGTCTAGCCTTATGGAAACAATTTCTGATGTGGACACCACATGACATCCTTGCATGGTCTGTTAAATTATACACATTTTTTTATGGTCTTCATTTAATTTTATTTCTTCAAATTTCATTAGAGATATATTTCTCATTCAATTCAATTCAGTTCTCAATTCAGTGAATGCTGCAAAGCATGGCAAAAATACATAAAAACTCAAAATATCTTTGTTACAAATTATGAAATACAGAAAAACCTAAAACAAAAAATACAGTTAAAAATAGTTAAAAAAACAATTTTTACAAATAAAGTTTCTGTGTCAAAACAAGCAAATTGACCAATTGGAAAAAAAAAAAAAAAATTTAGGTTCACAAAAATCGAAATTTAATTTTTGGTCCCACTGTGCTAAAAGACACTGATGTTGCAGGCAGATTAACTAAAGGCATACCAATCTTAACCGGAATGCACAATCAACACAATTCAAATTCTTTTAAAGCAAAAAAATGCATACTTTACAAATATATAAGGGAAAAAAATCTGATGTGTACACCACATGACTTCTTTGTACAGAATATTAAATTATATGCATTTTTTCTTGCATTTCATTTAAACGTATTGGATTAAATTAAATCTACTTCGCCGACCGCGCATAAACCACAATAGAATAAATGTATTCTTTAAAATTCACTCTGTTTGTTTACCATAGCGACACTCTGGTGCTAGGTTCACTTAACAGTATTATATTTCGTTCATATTATAACAAAGAATGCACAAATTTTATATCATTTAAAGAATTATCTAATCGTTGCCACATGTTCTATTCAAATACTATAATAAAGCTAGAGCAATGTATAAAAGAAATTAAGCAAACAAATCAAAAAAGAAACAGTTTTTCACAGACGATTGAGTATTTCTCATTCAATTAATTCAGTTCTCACTTTGTGACAAGGCAAAAATACCTAAAATCTCAAAATATCTGTATTAAAAATTACAAAGTAAATCTTAAACACTTATTTCCTCAAAAAAATTCCAGAAAGGATTAAGCATGATTTAATTCGCAATAATAAATGAAAGCATTATCTTTGTTGTTGCAAAGCTAAGTTTCTCTAGATTGGCAACAAATCTACTATCCTGCCGTTTCAAATGTAAACAAGCAATGGCCGTCATCAAAAAAATTATTAGGCTTAGTGGCACTTAAACAACTATAAAATTGTTGATAATTCTAAAAATATTGCATACAGATTTACTAAAAGCATAAAAACCTTAACCGGAAGATAAGAAGAACATAATTCAATCATTTTTAAAGCAAAAAATGTACAATTTACAAACATATAAGAGTAAAGAAACTGAGATCACTGAGCCGGGTAACAGAGTGGATATATATATAAATATACTTATATACGTTTGGTGCTGCTGATTGCAACCAAAATATGAGGTGCACATCTACATGTTATAAGCAGTCCTATATACAGGGGCGTAGATAGAGGGGGGGCAAGGGGGCATCTGTCCCTCAGCGCAGAATCCAAGGGGCGCCAAACTGATGTTACGACATTTTAGAATTAAATGTTTTCCATCCTTTGGCAAGCAGTAGGGGGCGTGAAATCTTCAGTTGTCCCTGGGTGCTGGAAACCCTAGCTACGACTCTGCCTATATAAAAAATTTCAACGTTCTGAGTCTACTTGTTTTTGAGTTATGCGAGATACGTACGTACTTTTGTACAGATGCCACGAAAAATTCTCTTCAGAATTCATTTTAAAGCAGTTTTATAATTTTTTTGGAGGAAAAGAGTATTTTATTCTCCTTACGTACAAATCACGTAAAAGCATCGTTAAATTGCATTCGAACAGCGGTCAAAATGGATGTTCGTTAAAATGCTGCTGAACTTTTTGCGATTACAATACTTCCTTTTTACTTCGTACAAGGAAGTAAAAAAAGAGCTCACTGGTGCACTTTTGATCAGTCACAGGAAAGCAACAAAACAAGATAGAAATGTGAAATATTCACCAAAGAAAAGGAAAATTCTCCAAGTTTCTGTAGTTTTATGTGCAAGCATGTGTGCAAACAGGTGATGGCACAGCAACGCGAAATGCGAAGGAGCAGATCAGTCTATCCACGCCCATACCAGTCAAGGTGTGGACCGTACAGAGGAAAGCTCAATGTGTTCTGTGGCATGGCAAATTCGAATCTGTGACCAAAATGCAACATGATTATCATCACATGTACAACGAACCACCGCCACATAGAAATGATATTAATTGGTGGTATAAGCAGTTGAAGGATACCAGCAGTTTGTTGGACAAACCCTGTTTTGGCAGGCCATCGGTCAGTGACAAGTCTGTAGAGGCTATGTAGAAGAGTTACCTAAGAAGCCCTTACAAATTGCAGCTGTTGCACGCTATCAAACTGACAGATAGACCCAAACGATTTGCGTTTGCTACAGATATGCTTCATGAGGTTGACAGCGATAACTGATTTCTGCAGAAGACTGTGTTTAGCGATGAGGCGACATTCACTGTTAGTGGACACGTTCATCGCCATAACACCCGAATAGGGGCTGTTGAAAATCCTCATGCCCATGTAGAGTATGAATTTAAGCAACCCTAAAGTGAAAGTGTGGTGTGGCCTGAAGCATGATAAAGTGATAGGAACATTTTTCTTTGCGGAGTAGACTGTGATGGCGGATGGAGCCCACATCGAACTGCACTGAATAGGTATGAAACTTTAAGAGGTTTTCTTTTGTTTGGTGAAGATTTCACATTTCTATCTTGTTTTGTTGCTTTCCTGGGACCGATAAAAAATGCACCATAACTTTACGGACACACTGTATATATATGTAAACTATCTCTCTCTCTATATATATATATACACATTTGGTGCAGCCGATTGCAACGAAAAATAGTAGTGCACAGCTACATGTGATACCAATCCCATATAGAAGATTTCAATGTTTTAAAGCTACTCGTTTTTGATATATGAGATGCATACATATGTATGTACATCATGAAAAAATCTCTTTTAACTCCATTTTAAATCTGTTTCAAAATGAAATTTGGAAAAAAAAAGTCCTTTATTCTATCTGTATGTACCGATATTGCACAAAAAAAAAAATCATTCAAATGGATCCAATAGCAGTAAAAATGTATATTTTCGTTGAAATAAGATGCCTGAAATTGTTCGCAATTATAATACTTCTTTTACTTCATACACGAAAATAAAAATGATCATATTAGTTAACAAACTACAGCATTCATATTAGTATTCAAATATAAAAAAGAATATGTAACAACTAAATGTTTAAAATTTTATACTGTATAAATTTTGCCCCCCCCCTTTTTTAAACACCTAAAAATCAAGAATGGTTTTCACAAAATGAAAGATGAAAACTTTTGTCCTGGAAAAACATAAACTGTTGCCAATTGAAAAAGAGTATATTCCATTTATTTTCCATATTATAAAAGTACACTGTTCACCAGCAAAATAACGAAAAATCTTCTAAAAGTAAATGAGAAATTCTCAGTAATACTTTTAAAAAATATTATAGACATTTATATCATTAGTAAAATTAACAAGAGAGATCTCTAATCAATAATCAATAGTTACTAATGAAAATATGTTCAAAATTATCTTACTTTTCTGTGGCTGAAGGAGTTCACGAAGCAATGTAACTAACACTAAGTTAATAGTCTCGCTAAATGTTTTATATGGGAATATTTTCAACTGGCCAGTCTAAAGTAAATAAAGTACTATTATGAAAAATCTCTTAAGGATAATAACAAAATTTTACTTTGAAAATTTTCTTAAGTATAACAAAATTTCATATAACATTCACATATATACAACTTACATTATAGACTTCTGTAGCTTGCTCATCTAAAAATTCCAGAAGATCTTGAGTGAGTAGTTTTTTCGCCTGCATGAAAGTTTACAAATAACATGAATAAAATTTTGAAATGGAATGAAAAGAACATATAAGAAAATATTATGAAAAATAAGAAATACCAAAGTACACTTACAATAGCTAGTACTGCTTGAAGATGAGCAACAGAAAACATAAATGGATGCTCTACATTTTCCATCAACCCAAGAGCAGGTAATCTACCAAAACTAGATCCAAACTTGTAAAAATAATAACTAGTAGGGTCATATGTCAATGATGACTGACTATACAATGAGCCCCTCTTACTTGAAATTCCACTACCACTAGTTACTGATAAATCAGCTCCTGAGTCATGGCTTGTTAATGCAGAACTAGATGCATTGCGAGAAACAGCCGACATAGATCGATGTAATATCGGTCTGAAATTGTGAAAGGTACGTTGTTTGAATGAACTGGAACTAGCCACTTTATGGAGCTTTGGAGATTCAGGAGTTGCAGGAGGTGTAGATGATGGAGGAGGAAACAAGCGACAAAATAGTGGAGATCCTTTTTTACTGCCTCTTCCAACAGCACGTGCAGTGCCAATGAAAACAGGTACTACCGATTTGCATAGCGTAACTGAAAATAACAGTTGAAACTTACATTAAAATAAGCATAGGTTTGGAAACCATAAAAAATATAAAACTTTTTAATTTGATAAAATAAGAAATTTATATTTTTTTTATTACCGTATTTGACGGCATATAAGATGCACTTTTTTTCCTAAATTTGGTCTCAAAAAAGTTATCTGCATCACATACGTGAAGGACACTTTCAATACTGAATGCTATTTTTAGCCCGGATAAAGGTCTAGACACACATAACATTTTCTACATCTGCCATAATTATTTTGCGCATTCATGAAATATCTGTTGCCAAAACGCGTCAAAGCTCGAAGCTGATATCAAAGTTTGAACGGGTTCGATGGTCACATTACGTCTATGGAGCCTTTCCTTCTTTACATAGACTTTCTTTGACTGTTGGTTTTGACTGTGTCGGTATTGGTGCTAATCTGTATAAACTTGTCAATATCGTTGCTACTCTGTATAAACTTGTCGGTATCGGTGCTTAAACTATTGTTTTAAAAAAATACCCTTAAAATATCCACAGGAACAGAGATTAAGCTATACAATTCAGTATAACTAGGAGTGTTAAACTACGCCAAAGTGCATGGAAACAGAGCAGCAGAAGGCATTTCGGTCCACCACCTACCGAAAAAATGATACGTATTTGGCGACTGCAGGAAGATCAACTGAAGACTGCTAAAAAACAAAAACATAACCTTATGCCCAGCTCCATTTTGGCCTGAACTTGAAAATGCCATAAAAATGTGGGTGATAGATAAGAAGAAATCTGGGAAACTGTTTCAACCAAAATGATAATCAATGAGGCCAAAGGATTTGCAGAAAAACATGGGAATCAGAACTTTTCAGGGTCTGAGGGCTGGTGCTACAGATTCATGAAAAGGTAAGGCTTATCAATGCGCACAAAAAACAACTATTGCACAGAAAATGCCAGCAGATTATAAAGAAAAAATACTAGCATTTCATAGGTTTTTATAATTCAGCAAGAAAACTTCTTTTGAGCTCAGCAAACAGGAAATATGATGAAATTCCACTCACTTTGATGTAACCATCTAACAAGACTGTGAGTATTAAAGGGTCTAAATCAATACCCATAGAAACCACAGGTCATGAAAAAAACCCAATATACAGTAGTTCTAACATGTTGTGCTGATGGCACAAAACTACCACCATTTTTCATATTCAAAAGAAAAACTCATCCGAAAGAAAAACTTCCAATGGATGTAATTGTTCATGTTTATCCGAAAGACTGGATGGATGAAGCTAGAATGAAACTGTGGTTACAGAACATATGGATGAGGCGACCTGGTGGACTCTTAAGAAAACCCTCTCTTTTGGTTTTGGATCAATTTAGCACCCATACAACTGAAACCATAAAGAATAAAAGTGAGAGACTTAAAAACCCAGATAGCTGTCATTCCTAGTGGACTGACTAGACAATTGCAGCCTTTAGATGTATCGGTGAATAAGCCATTTAAGGAAAAAGTGCGAGAACGATGGAACAAGTGGATAGGAAAGCCATATCACGCCCTCACACCCTCATAATGAAGTCGCCCTCTATTTCACAAGTGTACGAGTGGGTAAAAAGATTTTGGGAGGACGTAAAGGATGGAGTAATTGTTAAGTCCTTTAAGAAGTGCAGAATCATTAATGCTCCTGACGGAACAGAAGACGACGCATTATTCGAAGAAGGTGATACTAGTGATGACGGAAACAGTAATGATGACGATATTCTCGTTTTCGATGATGATGATAGTGAAAAGGAATTTTATGGTTTTGAAAGTGATTAAAGTCTAATTTCATAATAAGCAACGTTTTCCTTGAATCTGTGTTTTTTGTTGTTTCTGCTTTATTTTGTATTATGTTTGATTGCTTGCCGTTCATTCAATTATTCATCATTGAAATTTACATATCATGTTCAAAATAGCTTGCCGCTTGTTAATTTTCCTTAATAAAAATATGTTTGGTAATTGCATTCAATGATTGTTTATTTGGCTTTTACGAAATGTGAGAACTAAAAGAAACCACATTTTAAGTTATTGTGGTACTGCGCTGTCGCGCGGACTATTGAAACATTTTTTCCTTGTGTGTGGCCTTCTAAATAAGGGTGCGTCTTATATGCCATCAAATACAGTAGGCGGTTTCAGATCTTAAGCTGAGAAAACTAATATGAAATTTAATATGCTGAGTGTCTGTAAACTGTTTCAACAAAATAAGAGGGCTGATACTATTCATTAAAACAAACAATATTTACAATGAAACCTGAAAACGTGTATAGTTAAATATCCAAGCTGAATCTTCAACAGTAAACAATAGAGAATTAATAAAATTATAAGTTGCACAGTCTCATTTAGATCAGAGAGAGAAACAAAGAAAATCCTCACAATTGGATTCAAGAATATAAGCCTAATGCAACCTCTCATAAACTCCTAGTATACATTTATTTCCGCTGTTGCAATAATGATTCTCATTATGATATCTTTTATTGAGTTCACGTATACCTTGTATACCAGTGATTTCATGTCTCCCAGCAGAAGATTTAGGTCTGGCAAACATAGAGCCAAGATGCTCACCAGACCTTTTTCAATCCACCACTTGAGATAAGCGTTATTCAGAAAGTGTTAAACTATGGAGGTAAAATGACCTGGGTTTTCATTATGCATTAATCATATATCCACTGTATGGTAAACAGAATAGCTGCAATAAACAGGAACCATTTACTCCAGGAAGACATGGTATGCTGCATTGGTCAGACATTCTGACAACAGGTAATCACCAAAGATACCTACCTAATTAACTCATATCAAATTTTTGCTGGTCTTTACAAAATGTACAGATGTCAGGATTCTTTTCAGCCCTGACATGTTTTTTGTACTGAAAATGTAAAAATTTGCCAGCACTGAAAATGTAATCCTGGGTAAATGAGGTTTCATTTTAAGTAATGCAAAGGCAAAAAAATTACAGATTGTTACTAGTCATCTGTTCCATCTTAAACTCTAGCTGTTGAGGATAGTCATCTGCATTTAAAGATTTGATTTTTTGCACACAGATGAGAGCACACATGCTTTATGTGAAGCATTTCACAACATATTGTGAAAAACACCATCATATGCCACGGTTTGCAAACACATGGAAGGGGCTACAACAAATTTCTCCAAGATATGCTTTTCCATTTCCACTGATTTCGCTTACATCCCTTACCTGTCTTTGAGATAGCAAATGAGCTGGTTTCAAGCTGTCTTCTATCACTAATGGTGAAGGTAGAAAATATGATGCATCAGAAATCACTCACAATACAATCATTAAACCTTGCATCTATTTCCATTTGTTTGATTATATAATTGGCCATAGCCTTCACAAAGTCGCTTTAAATGACATTATCATGGAAATAATCTGAAGCGTTCAGGATGTAATGTTTTTAATGAGCAATGTTAGTTTTTGCTAGCTTTCTACTGAACCCTGGCAAGCCAGTCAGCAGCAACTGTTGATTTCACAGGGAATTTGCATATAGCAAATGCTCGATACTGTTTTTTGGAGGTATTCTACTTCTCCAGCAGGAGAGAAATGATGACTTGTGCTTGCTGAACATATTTCAATGTTACTTTTTCCTGATATTCTGAGTGGAATATGGCCCTAGGCTTCCTTTTAAATATTATTCATCTTGATGGATATTATCATCCCTCTTATTTTGTTGAAACAAATTATGAATATTCTTTGGTTACTTTTTATAGTCTGTAACCAAATAATAAGTTATACTAATTTGATATATTATGTGGCTTCACACAGCTGCATAAAAAATAATTTGCAAATACACATGATATGCATCCCACACCTTTCCTACCCTCCACAAAACATTGATGTATTTAAGAGTTTTGTCTTAAACTGTTATTAATAATAAAAAAAAAAAAAAAAAAAATTCGAAAGACATCTTTTGTCCTAAATTACACAACTTTTGTTCAGTTTATATGTTCTTAATGTCTGAAAAATTAAAATATCTTTTGCCAAACTAAATGGTACAATAGCTCTTATTGACCCATGGCCTTCAGTGTCCCAATATCTGCTTTCTTGATCTTGGGCCCCAGGATGCGCATATATCCTGAACAAGTGGTCAATTTGTCGTAGAACCCCTGGTGTTTAGTCCCCAAGCAAACTTGGTACTCATTTTATTAACCCACTCAAGCAGGGTGAAAGGCTCATTCAACCTTGCCCAGCCTGGAGATAGAACCCAGACATGAGGTGCTGCTGCACGACATGCTAGCCACTGTATGACCGAGCCTTTTTATCTCATTGTCACCAATGTCAAAATATTAAATACTAGTTAGAACGCCAAGCATTATAAAAGAGTTTACAAGAGGGGGGAATAAATGCTTTAAAAAGTTTTTCGCAAAATTTCCAAGCTAAAGTAAAAATATATCATAAGCATTCTTACTCGAAGTCTAATAATAATCTAATTTGTCACATATATATATACATAGAAAAAACCCCTCAAATTATACGTAGAATGTTATAAAATATTCAGTTATTGTATCCTGCATAATTCTGAACATTCAGTTTATATTTTATAAAGAACAGTGTTTAATATAAGATTTATACTCATTGTAATCATATGTAATTCTGAGCATTCAATTTATATTTTGCAAAAAACAATGTGGTAAAAGTATATTTACAGGTACCCCTAGGTGAAAATTGCCGATTTTTGGTGGTACATGGATACCGAGTTTGTGCAATTCTTTGACTAGTTATTTTGGCTTTATGTAGCGGCAATTTCACATTGCGTACTCCCTTGACTTTATCCATGTACATGTTGACCTATTTTCACTTTAAAAAAAATCAGAGAATTGCACAAACTTGGCATTGCGCACTCCCATGACTTTGTCCATGTACACATCGATGTATTTTCGCTTAAAAAGTCAAAGGAGCACCCAATTCTAGGTAAAAGTATATTTATGGAACATTCAACTACTCGGGTTACCATAAATGAAACAACAATTTAATGATAATACTCTAACTAATATTGGTTTAATGTAAAATTTAAATTCAATGAAATCATATGCAATTATATTATCAAAGGCAGAGCCACTTTTCTGGAAAATAAAATGAAAAAAGTGTACCTTAAACATTTATTTAAAATAAAAATTATAAACATACTGCATAAATCTGAATTTTAGTGAATAATAATTTTCAATAATTGGTTTTCCTTCAAAAACAAATTCAGAAATTTCATAATATATTTTCAAATTTACTTTTAAAACATTGTGATAAAAAAGATGTATAATAACAAAGTATGTTTAAATAAAAAATATGCTCTTATTACATGATATATCAATACAAATCTACCCTTTTGTAAACACAAACACTATCAATGATTTCATATTTCATCAAATAAAAAATAATAATGCAAATTTTTTTTTTTTTTTTTTTTTTTTTTTTTTTTGTGCATCATAAAAAAAAAAATTCAATTCAAGCTACTAAAAAGTAAATTTAAAATTCTTTTTCAGAATATTTTACATTTTAGCTATATTATTATAGCTGATAAATTATTTTGGAATAATTACACATACCTCTTGCAGCACTGCACCGAGAATTAACAGATTCTTTTTCCTTGTAGTTTCTGCAAAGGTTAGCTAATGTGCCTAGCAGTTCAACTTGAGCAGCAATTATCTTTAAAGTAAAAATAAACAAATTAAAAAAGTTTTTTAAACATTCATTATACTTAATATTTACAGTATAAATATGGTATATACCACACTTTACAGAAAAAATATGGTATATACTGCATAAATACCATATAATACATGCAATGCATAAATATCATATTTACTCTAACAACCCACCTTTCCCACTAATTTTACCAATTTTAAACTGAAAAGAGAAACATATGTGGGGTGTATATACTAATTATGAAGAGATGGCTCAAATGATAAATCTAGCACATCAGAAAGAAGACGTAAAGGCACATTAATATTATTGTATTATACAATTCAAAGGAATTCTCAGTATCAATAATAATCTTTTCCCTTATAAAAATACTTTACTATTTGTGTATATATTTTATATTGTTGCAATAAATCAGAAGATATGCTAAAAAAACTAGAGGGAAATTTACACGAGGAGAAAAATATGCGAGTAAATGTGGTATATACCTATATATTTAAAGTTTCAGAATAATCAGCAGTTTATGCCTATGTAACATAAAATGAAAATAAACTAGTAAAAATAGGTATTATTAATTAATACTTATAATTTAGAATAAAAAAATACCTACATACAGTTGAAATTTATTTTCGCTTACTGCTGTATAAGAAAACACCTTTTTGCTTTTCACAATGATAATTTTGAAACTTATATATTATCCTATTGACAGTGAAACTGTTGCCAAGAAGCTTAATTTAGCACTAATTATGGATATCAACCCATTCAGAATACCTACACTTTCATTTAATGTAGCATTGATTAATTCCTAATGAGTCACCTTGTTTTTATGAACAAGCCTGGAAAGTAACTGTTATTGCTGAATTTTTTTCTTCCATTTAAAAAAAGAATTTAAATTCTGGACCTTTCTTCTACAGAACAGCAGGCAGTGGATATACTTATTGGATCCTAACCATAAAAAGTATGTATTAATATACATCATATGGTCTGCTGAATATGGCAGACATAACAGTAAAACACTAAAAAATTTGGCCATGAGAAGTTTGTACTTATAGTGTTCTAATGAAAGCTTCCAGTAAAATCACTTTGGTTTATCAGGTTATCAGGCTATAATGGTGAAGACAGCTTCACTGCAAAGCACCAGAGTACAGCTCCTGACGCTGCTTGGTCGTTCTCGGAACTCCACGGGCTCTCGAGACTCTCCACACTAAAACTCGCAATGCACTCGACACACAGAGCACGGCTCCCGACTCTTCGGCTCAGTCGTTCCCGGAGCTCAACACACTCTCTCGATGATGTACTAACCGCGATACCCTAAGAGATTCCTTTAATGAACTCAACGACCCACTCGGCACTCGCTACCCGGCTGTCAACTCGATCGACTTCTCAGGGACTGACTAGCTAGACGAGACACCAACTCGATAGTAACTATCTCGCACTCCTGACGAGACACTCTCCCGACATTCTCTCGACGAGGGACACTAACTGACTGCGGACCAGCAGGGTTTATATAGCTTTCGGCTTGTGTTCGAGAACATTTTGGGCTAAACTGGTAAGAATTCGTTCCAGAAGGTTCTCCACCATCCATTGCATATCGCTGATTTTTTCGCCAAATGTGGCAACCCTAAAACTGCTTTGCGGGGAAGCCATCTTACCGCGCCTTGACATTTCGAAACACTATTAATCAGCTTTCATACTCAAAGGGATAATATGTAACTACCATAATTATTATTATTTTGAAGAAAGACATTTTACTTCTTTCATACTATATTTTTAGTTTTGCCAAGGTATTCTAAGACTGGCCTGCTTCATCCTCTTTTGACTGAAAATATTGCAGAGTTTCCCTTAGTTTGCATAACAAATTATTTTTAGTACCTTTCCTGAACCTCTCATTTTCCCCTCACAGTTCCTCACCAGGATGCGAATTTAAGGTCAAGTGAAGAGGGTATAAGAACAGACAAATCTAGAAATTTATTCAGAGCATGATTTTACTACCCAGGGCATGCATGTCACTGTTTTGTCCTTCCTGTTGTCATGTAGAGTTGCTGATATGCCTTGTGTATAATATTATATCGTCTTGTTAATAGGTATATCGCCAAGGTAGCTTGTCAGGTCAGCCTAATTAGCCTTAAATTAAATTATTAGTCCAGCACTACTATTTATCTTTGAATTTATTGTGAAATTATTCTTAAGTCATCCGTGTTATTGTAAGCATGAAGTACGTGCATTTGTGTTAAGAGTTTGATGAATAATAGTGGGTTTATTTTAATCTTCTTCTATGCTGGTATTATTCCTGCTATGTAAGAAGTCATCAGGTTTCCTAGTAAGATAATTTGAGCTTTATGATAGCGAACAGAATAAGATCTTACAGTATCAGTGCAAAACTGCAAGTATGCTCCAAAATTTATGTGGCATCAGGAAGGTAGTGCTCTGTGCTTCTCACTATAACTAAATGTAGCTTTCTGGTTCTTTTTTTTTTTTTTTTTCTATCTAACATATCAAAAAAAATTTATTCAAAATTATAACCTTGTCATTGAAATTATTTTCCTGTGTCAGATATTACAAAGATATTCTTTAATACACCAAGCCAGAGATATAAAAAAGTTTCCCGTCATTATTTTTTTAAAATGAGTAAACACAACGAACAAAATAAATAAAATTTCAAAACAAAAATCATGAATAAAATATGATTCTTCATTAAAAATTTGTTTAAAGACATTTTTCAAATTTTTATTTTATTTTTTAATTATTTTATTTTCAAATTTTTTATTTTTCAAATTTTTATCTATGCTATACAGTGAGTATTTACTATGCATTAAGCTATGCCTTAATGTCTACGTCTCAGACACTAAAAAGAATTTGTTCTTACTAACAAGAAATCTGTCTTAGATGCATGTCCTATTGATAAGTGTTCCCTGTATTTCAAAGTATGGACGATTTTCAGTGATAACAGCTTTAAAAGAATCAGACCAGATTGGTCAAACAAGAGTTTTAAAAAAAAAAAAAAAAAAAAAGGATAAAAACTGCTTAACTACTCAAAATATTTAACACACTTTTTTCATTTTTTAAAAAGAAAATATTTTAAACACATTTTTAATTTCTTTTCTATTTTATTTATTTACTTTTCAAAGTAGAAATGCAAAATATCTATAAGGTAAATTAAAACACTATTACAGGATCCACCATCTTTTTTTACAGTTAATGAAATACATAAATATAGCATCTAAAATCTAAAGCTACATAAGTAGTTTAAGTGCATCAATTTAATATGCTCTAGGCCTTAGAATAGTAAGTTTTCCTCTTGACAGAATTTTACTTTTCTTAATGCTTCCCAAAATAAACTTTTGTAGCAAATTCTAGCATTTATAATACGGGCAGAATACAACATTACTAAAATGCTAATGGAGATACTTGCTGTGACAGCTTTACTACAACTATCTTTTCAAAGAATAAAATTGAACCACAGTGGACCCCTTCAAGCAGACTACCTCTAAAACTAATTTCTAAAAATATAAATAAATATTGGTAATGACAATATTCTTCTATAAAAAAATAACTCCTTAATTAGACAGTGACTATCAAATATGTTGTTTTCTCACAATTGCCAAAAATATCTCCATTTTTGCATCAATTTAAAATATTTCGAAGTATTATAACATAAATTAAGAAATATATCTTTAGCAGAAACACTATTTTTTATGCATTTCTGTAATACAAACTTTATCCTTTTAAATAATTCATTACATTCCTGAATTACATATACTAAATTTTTTCATTTACTGGTTGTGCAGACTGATATGATACATTGATTAAAACCTCACTTTTAAAAGATTACAACTTCAAAAACATTTGCCGCATAGATGAGATGGATCTTTGATATCACTCAAACCTACTAAATCTTAGGATACTCGTGCATGATACTAGATAAGATATACTAGATAGATAGATAAGATGATACTGCTTGCCAATGCTTTATGTGGAGGAAGGGAGGAACAATATAGATTATAAAAAATTCATTTACAACCAAGATGCTTAAAAAATGTCATATGTCCAAGCTGATAGCAAGAATGGTATGCAAATTAAAAGTTCTGAATCATGGGATTTTTTTTAATCCTGAATAAAGGGAATAATTTTGTATCATTCATGAAGTTCATTCTGTTTTAGAAAAGAAGTGATAACCTAACAAGAAAATCAAGAAAAATTTCATTGTAGGATAGTGAATGTTTCTTAAACTAATGAATAAAATCTATAACCTACTTTTTTTGTGTGTATGTGTGCATGCATCTTTTAGAGAAATTTTACATATAAAATCAGTCTCCTATATTTTAAAGTAGTACGAGGGTTGGAACTTTAATAGTGGCAACTATTTATTTACAAGGAATACAAAAGTGATTTCGTGTCACCATGTTTTACAGTCCTTCAATATAGTCGCCAGCATTGTGTACAACCCGTTTCCAATGATATGGAAGTTGCAGAATACCTGTAGCAGCACCTGTTTTGTTGATAGTTTGAATGGACCGGTCTACTGCCGCAAGAATCTCAGGAACAGTTTGGAAGCGAGTGCCACGAAGTGGTTTCTTCATCTTAGGAATTAAGTCATAGTCAGAAGGGCTTAGATCTGGCGAGTATGGTGGATGATAAAGCACTTCCCAGCCCCATCGCTTGAACAAATCAGTCACAGCTTGCGCTGCATGCGACCGGGCATTGTCATGCAAAATGAGAGGAGCGTTCTGCAGAAAGTGTCGTCGTTTTTTTTCTCAAAGCTGGTCGGAGTTTGTGCTCCAAAAATGAGCAGTAATACTGTGCAGTGACAGTCTGCTGTGGGGGAACGGTATGCGCTAAGATGACACCATCACAGTTGTACACGAGAATCACCATAACTTTCACATTGCTGTGGTTCTGACGAAATTTCAAACGTCGTGGTGACCCGTGATGACACCATTCGTTTGATTGGCGTTTCAGTTCTGGCTGGTACGATCGGGCCAAGTCTCATCCAATGTAATGATACG